CAAAATCGAAAAAATTGTCTTTAAATTTGGGAAAAGGGGGTTTCCTATACTGATGATATGGCCCCCGTTTTTCCCCGGGTTTCCCTAAGGGCCCGTTATTTCCGGTTTTCCAAATATCCGTACACGCCGTTATGTCAAAAATACGGGACCGTATATTCCCGTATATCAGTATATTTTTCGCAGTGATAGCTGTTGCAGTATAGTTAGTTATGGAAACCACATTTTATTTCTTTTCTTGTGTGTGTGTAAATGTTGGGGCAAGGACCAATTTAGGTTGGACATTGGATGACGATTTGGTCATTTAAATGACAAAAGGTCAGGTCAGTGACATAAAAAGAAAATAAATTTGGAAAGCATATTCAATACACTAAATCAGTAAGCCTATGCCTGTTTAGTAAATCATAATTTTAAATGACTCAGGTCAGTGTAGTAGCCTTAGAATTTAAGTATCAATGACATTGAGCAAAGTGGTGGTATAATGTTATCTTTTAGAAATTTCATCATCATATCAAAGCTTGTGACAATTGCTGCTTTAAGTTACTCTTTGCTAATTGTAGTTTGTTATCATTGTAGCCAGAACATTTAATTAATAAGAACATATTTGTTCATATCGTGAGGCAATTTTTTACTAGCCTGACATATATAGGTAAAATTCAATTGATGCTTGAACAGTTAGAAGATATTCTTTACTTCTAAATATAAAGATGTCATGCACAAAGCTCTCTTTAAAAGCTAGCAAAGAAAAATATAGCAGGAGACCTTTTTTGTCTGCAAACATTTTGTAACTGCAAATGTTTTGCCTGTTTAAAGATTTTTCATGTGATTTCAGTGATAAAATTTATTTTAACACTACATGAATTTATTAGTAAGTAAGATATGCCCCTTATTTTAACCTCACCTTTATTAATAAGTGTAATATATATTGGGTATTTTGAAAAATGCTTGATAACTTTTTCAGCTTACTTCAGGGAAAGCACAGAGCAAGAACAGACAAGTCCAAAATTCAAACGGTATTAACATTAATTATTCAATTTAAATGTTTATTCTTGATTTTTTTTTGTGTGTGTGTCAATTTGTTAATATTCAGAATTTAATACTGTATCTAATGATTTTTACATATCAGTTATAGAACAGCTCTATGCAATGAACTATGATTATAATAGTCTTTGCTGTTAATTGAGTTAACTATTCAAACATATTTATTTTAACTAAATTTAGATATAAGCATAAAGCATCTTTTAATCAGTCTTCAGTCCACTTCGCGGACAAAATGGTATTACTGTTATATGAGGAAACATGGCTGTGCCACCAGTGGAGCTCATACAAGTAAAAGTAAGGTACATGTATTATACAAGCTATTAACACTCTATTTCAGAATTTACAAGACCAGACCAAGATTTGGCTTTGAATGGAGAGAGATTAAATTCTTTGCATGCAAAACTTCACCAAGAGGCTGATAGAATTAGAAAATGGAAAAATCAGACAGAATTAGACATGAAACAGAAAGTATGCTACTACACTGTCTTGTACAGCCTTGAGTAATTTTGAAAGTATAATTTCCAAATTTGTGAACACTTATGTTATATCTTTGTTATTTGTAAATATTCCAATAAAATGAATTACTTTTATTTAAAAGAAATTTTTGAATTATTTGAAGAAACAGACCACAGAAAGACTATTAGATTTTAAAGCCAAAAAGATTTTAATAGTGGCAAATGAAGGAAGTTTTGAATTGGAAAGCATACATTTGGAAAATGTTTGAAATTTTTAATGAAACCATTTTATTATCCATTAATATTATTATTAGAACAAGTAATAGAAAATAATAAATGTTTAAAATATATACTTTTGTTGTGTATACTGCTGTTGTATTTATATTTAAGGACAGAAAGATTCAGGAATCCAGCCATACCATAGACTCTTTAAGGAAATCAATACTTGATATTCAGGTTTGTAATGTCTTTAAATGGATGCTTTATACTTATACTTTAATGAATTGTAACCCTTGCTGAATATAAAAATTTTACCTACATGTATTTTCAAAGTTCATTTCAAAGACATTTATTTAGTGCAAATCATTGAATATTTATGGGTTTCTATTTTTACTGTTTTTGGTGGATAGGTCAACCCACGAATTTAAGATCAATCAAAATTTTATTTTGTCTGCTGTATGATTATATTACATTATTTGCATTTTACTTTTTGTAAAAACTGGTAATCAACAGATTTAAAAACCTAAGAAAATGTCCCTCTTTGACAAAACCACAAATTCATGCCTACAAAGTTAAGTGAATTCTCAGTATTTGGAAAATGGATTTTTAGCTCACCTGAGCTTGCTCAGGGTGAGCTTTTAGGATCGGTGAATGTCCGTCGTACGTCCACAATTGCTTGTGAACACTCTAGCGGTCGCATTTTTGCGTCAATCATCATCAAACTTGGTCAGGATGCTTATCTAGTTGAAAGCTCGGATGAGTTCGAACATGGCTCATCTCGGATGAAAAACTAGGTCACAAGAGCTAAAAATAGAAAAACCTTGTGAACACTCTAGAGGTCACACTTTTGACCCAATCATCATCAAACTTGATCAGGATGTTTGTCTAGGTGATAGCTCGGATGAGTTCGAACATGGGTCATCTCGGATTTAAAAGTAGGTCACAGGAGCTATAAATAGAAAAACCTTGTGAACACTCTAGTGGTCACATTTTTGAACCAATCATCATCAAACTTGGTCAGAATGCTTGTTTAGATAATAGCTCAGATGAGTTTGAATATGGGTCATCTCGGATAAAAAACTAGGTCACCGGAGCTATAAATAGAAAAATCTTGTTAACACTCTAGCGGTCACATTTTGCATCAGTTTCATCAAACTTGGTCAGGATGCTTATCTAGTTGATAGCTTGGATGAGTTCGAACATGGGTCATCTCGGATGAAAAAGTAGGTCACCGGAGCTAAAAATAGAAAAACCTTGTTAACACTCTAGCGGTCACATTTTTGCATCAGTCATCATCAAACTTGGTCAAGATGTTTGTCTAGGTGATAGCTCAAATGAGTTTGAACATGGGTCATCTCGGATGAAAAAGTAGGTCACCGGAGCTAAAAATAGAAAAACCTTGTTAACACTCTAGCGGTCACATTTTTGCATCAATCATCATCAAACTTGATCAAGATGCTTGTCTAGGTGATAGCTCGGATGAGTTCGAACATAGGTCATCTCGGATGAAAAACTAGGTCACAGGAGCTAAAAATAGAAAAACCTTGTTAACACTCTAGTGGTCACAATTTTGACTCAATTGTCATCAAACTTGGTCAGGAAACTTGTCTAGGTCATTGCTGGGAATAAATCGAACATGGGACATCTCGGATGAAAAACTAGGTCACAGGAGCTAACAATAGAAAAATCTTGTTAACACTCTAGTGGCTACTGTTGTGATCCAAATATTCTGTTAATTGGTCTGAAAGTTTGTTTTGATGATTTCTAAGTCAAGATCGAACATGGGTCATCTTGGATGAAAAACTAGGTCACACCGCCCAAATATGGAAAAACCTTGTTAACATTCTAGTGGTCACATTTTCGACTCAATTATCATCAAACTTGGTCAGGATGCTTGTCTAGGTAATTGCTTGGATGAGTTCAAAATCGCATGTGAAACTAGGTCACCGGAGCTAAAAATAGAAAAATCTTGTTAACACTCTAGTTGCTACGGTTTTGATCCAAGTATCCTGGAAATTGGTCTGAAAGTTTGTTTTGATGATTTCTAGGTCAAGTTTGAATATGTGTCACCTGGGTAAAAAACTAGGTCGCACTGCTCAAATATGGATAATCCTTGTTAACACTGTAGTGGTCACATTTTTGACTCACCTGTCATGAGACTTGGTCAGAATACTTGTCTTAAGGTAATTGTTTGGATGAGTTTGATAAGTCAGGTGAGCGATCTAGGGCCATCATGGCCCTCTTGTTTTATTTCTTTACTGTGTAAAGACTTAAATATTAAGGTACTTATATGAGTGTTTTGCTTGCAAATGTTTCATCTAGCAATTATAATTGGAAAAAGATTATAGAAACAAAAAGGATGTTGATATATTTGTAGCTTCAAAATGAGAGCCTTAGCATGACTCTTCAGGAAGAAATCAGTAACAGAGAGGATATTTTACAAAAGTAAGAACAAGACATTTATCTGTTTATATATGCTACTGTTTTTTCTGAAAAGCAGATATGTGTGTTAATTTAGTTAACTTGTGATTTTCAAATGGAATATGGCCTTAAACTTCCTTCACTTGTCTCTGGTAAATGAGTTTAGTGTTCGTATTTTACATCAAGTTTAAGTGCACACCTGATTATGATGTACATGTATTTGACAACTGTTAAGATATATAGAACTAAGATACTTAGACATTTCATCAAACTTTACATTATCTGAACACAGTAGCTGTAAAAGGATAATAATGCAAAAAATGATAAAAGAAAGGAGACAAAATTTAAATGTACATAACTTGGATATATGTTCTTCAACAGTAAAATATATTTCTTGTAAAATACTTAGTTTTTCTTCAGAGTTTCAGCCACAAGAAACTTGTGTTCAGTTTTGAAGGACCATCTTGCAAAGACAGAATCCAAAGTTGCAGAATGTAATTTAACTTTCAAATAATGTTAAAATTGGTTTAGAATTACAAATTCCACAATTTTATATTCACTATAAATGTCAAGTATTCAGTAAGAAATAAAAGAAAGTTTGAAATATAATGATTTGACCTTAAATAATTGACAATTCTCCCTATGAAAACTTATCTCACTTTAGTGTCGTTTTTGCCCACTTTAGTGACAATTGGCCCCACTTTATCAGCCCCTGCCAATGGAATACATCTCAGAGTTCAGTGTTTTTTTTTTCTTTATATAACTACTACCCTAAAACGGTACCATTCCCAATAGAAAATAGACATTAAAATTCCCAATTTCCAATGTTAAATTCCCAAAATGACTGTTCAAAATGCCCACAAGGCAAAGTGATTTTTCTTAAATCATTTAAATCCAACATATTCATATAAATCACCACTCAATAGTTCTATCTAGACAGTAGAAGCTGTTAGCTATCATTATTCATGATGTTTAATCTCATTTGTAGCTGAAAAAATGCATTAAAAAAATTCCCAATTTTAGTCAAAATAACGCATTTTTTCCCAATCAGTCTGGTACCGGCACCATTCCCAAAGTAGAGAAAAAAAACGCTGGAGTTATGGCCCCTGTTCGGTTTTGCAGTATGTAAACAGAGTAAAATTTGTTTCCGCAAGATTTCTTTGCAACTGCTGACTTAATATCAATCAAACTTTATAGGAACCATAATTAGTAAAGGAGAAATGCATATCATTTACAGGTCCCATTTAGATCGTTTATCACAGAGTTATGGCCCCTGCATATGTCAGATAGTTGTAATTTGTTACATTTATATTATTTGCTATAATTTTGTTATTTATTTATAGTGATTTTCTGAGAATAATTCAAACATAAAGCTTCTAAGTAATCTGTCTTTTTCTTAAACCAGAGGCTTAAATAAAGTATCTTTTAATAATACTTTATATGTAAAACTAAAAAGATAGAGTACTTCCATGCCTACTAACAATACTTCCATGCTTTAGCAAATACAAAGACAAGCATATATCTAACTTTAACATTCTTGAAAGTAAATGATTTAAGACATGTTGTCATGATTATTACTGAAATGGGGCAAATAGTCACTCAGAACTTAGGCAAATCTTTATCAGATTTAATATGGTAACCCAACGGAAAAATGACCAATTTCTGTTCTAAAAGATAAACAAAAATGTAATTTTGATTCATACCAAAATATACATTAAATAATACAACTGTTTATCAATATGTATGATTTAAAATATGTTTCATTCAATTATTTTAAGATGAGATGATTTGTTAATAGTCAAGAGTCGAATTGTCACTTAATTTAAGTTAGGCAAATCATCAGTGGATCGAGTGAACTGTTGTCAATACCAGAATTTTTGAAAGATATTTTTTATAAGACTGGAAAATCACTTTTAGATTCATGTTTGAACTTGTATTGTTTTAATGGTTCTTAACCCTTTCGCTGCCAGAGGGTTATTGTTTAATTGATCACCTATTTGCCAGAGGGTTTTCTAAAAAATTACTATATTATTATTTAATATAATTATTATTATTATTTGTTATTAGTATTATATTAATTATATATGTTTCCAAATATGCTAGTATGATAATAATTATTGTTGATGGTATAATTTTCTATATAAGTATTATTATTTTTATTATTATTATTAATTTATTATTATTATTATGATTATTATAGAAACGGCTAAAGCCGTCCATATGGCAAATACGCGGAAAATAACAGGGACGGCTTAAGCCGTCCCTATGGCAGTGAAAGGGTTAAAGACTAAACAATAATGAATGCTTTACAGGTGAAGCAGAAAAAACTGAAGTCAAATATCTTGAACAGGAACACAAACGACAATTTGAAGTAAGTGTGTATAACATGGATAATTTTCTTTTTTTTAAATAATTTATCATAGCCAATTTGATTAAAATCAGCTCTTAAATAATGGTGCACTTAAGGATTTATCTGTCACCAAGAAGAGGTGACCTTGCAATTCATTCAGCCAATCAGTGGCTAGCTTTCACATTCTTGAAAGTGAATCAGTTTCTATTTTCAACTGTTGTGAAACCAACACATACAGGATTTTCACAGTTTTAAGATATAACGCTTAATGATGGTGCTTATGCCAGGTTATAGATTAATATTGAATCAATGCCTATGTTCTGAAAGTCACACAATCTAATGTGCCGCAGAAAGTACATCAGAATTATCTAATTGTATCATTACATATGTGATGAAAGTTTATGACTTATCTGACTTCATGGACAATGATTATTTTTGTTAAATGACCATCAAATGATTGGTTAAGCTACCAAAAATTCTTGTCAGACAATTTAAATCAGATGGAAGGACAACTAGAGTTGGTTATTCTTAGATCTATACATAAAACATCAAAAATGTTTTGTTTTTTTATTTTGTTCCAGAATTTGTCAGAAAAATTCAAGGAACTTGAGGTGGCAAGGGATGAAGAGCATAGACAACTCACAAGTCAAAGTAAGTGAACATCTACAGATGTCAGCCAGACCTTAGTTTTAACTGCATATTATATATAGACTGTTTATCAGACTTGTTATTCTGTTTCCAATTTGTGTTGTCTTAGTGTACATAATTTCAAACAGTTTGGACGTCCATAAAGAAGTAATCCCTTTGTTTAAACGGTTTTCTTTATCATTTTATAACTGGGCATGGGTTTAATTAGTTAGGTCAGAGGTATTCATCAGTGTCTTTGCCTTGTTTTTATATCATATTTAGGTCTACAGTCCTTAAACCTGGTGAGAAGGTTGAACATGACCAATGCATTCCACACAAAAGGTTGTCCTATAATTAAAAAGAAAAATGCCTTAATTAACCTACAGATGAAGTTTGTTGAAGACAATTTGGTTATATCTGGTACTGATGATCCCTTTTGATTTTAAGGTCAAAAGATGAAAAGATCTTGAAGCTGGTCTACTATCTTAGGATTTGGAGCTCTGATTGGTCATGACCTCTAGATGATCCATATTGATTTTTAGGTCTGTAGGTCAAGGTCACTTTCATGAGAATCAGAGAGAAAAATAAAATTTATATTTTAAGAGCATGACCACTGAATATTAAGGTCACTGTGACTATGTAACGGTCTTGGTTACCTGTTTTGCCATCTATGACTAATTACTTGCCATTTTACAAGCCTACATGTTTAACTATTTTCTCTTGTTTTTATTTGCAGTATCGGTGCTATCTAAGGAGAAGGAATGTTTAGAGCAGAATCTCACACATTGCAACCAAGAAGCTGAGTCTAAGGTTAAATTTATCCATTTTCCCTTAATATTCTTTATTAACCAGGTTTTCAATTTTGAAAATCCTGGTTATTAGATTGGGGTATGGCGGGCGGATGGGCGGATGGGCGGATGGGCAGATGGGCGGATGGGCGGATGGGCGGGCGTCAAACGAAATTGTGTCCGCTCTGTAACTCTTCAACCCTTTGAAGAATTTTGATGAAACTTCAGACAAATGTTTACCACATCAAGATGACGTGCAGAACGCATGTTCCGCATGGCTGGCTCCAAGGTCAAGGTCACAGTGACATTAACATTGAAAATCCTGTCCGCTCTGTAACTTCTTCAACCCTTTGAAGAATTTTGATGAAACTTCAGACAAATGTTTACCACATCAAGATGACGTGCAGAACGCATGTTCCGCATGGCTGGCTCCAAGGTCAAGGTCACAGTGACATTAACATTGAAAATCCTGTTGCGGGCGTCAAACGAAATTGTGTCCGCTCTGTAACTCTTCAACCCTTTGAAGAATTTTTGATGAAACTTCAGACAAATGTTTACCACATCAAGATGACGTGCAGAACGCATGTTCCGCATGGCTGGCTCCAAGGTCAAGGTCACAGTGACATTAACATTGAAAATCCTGTCCGCTCTGTAACTCTTCAACCCTTTGAAGAATTTTGATGAAACTTCAGACAAATGTTTACCACATCAAGATGACGTGCAGAACGCATGTTCCGCATGGCTGGCTCCAAGGTCAAGGTCACAGTGAATTAACATTGAAAATCCTGTCCGCTCTGTAACTCTTCAACCCTTTGAAGAATTTTGATGAAACTTCAGACAAATGTTTACCACATCAAGATGACGTGCAGAACGCATGTTCCGCATGGCTGGCTCCAAGGTCAAGGTCACAGTGACATTAACATTGAAAATCCTGTTGCGGGCGTCAAACGAAATTGTGTCCGCTCTGTAACTCTTCAACCCTTTGAAGAATTTTGATGAAACTTCAGACAAATGTTTACCACATCAAGATGACGTGCAGAACGCATGTTCCGCATGGCTGGCTCCAAGGTCAAGGTCACAGTGACATTAACATTGAAAATCCTGTCCGCTCTGTAACTCTTCAACCCTTTGAAGAATTTTTGATGAAACTTCAGACAAATGTTTACCACATCAAGATGACGTGCAGAACGCATGTTCCGCATGGCTGGCTCCAAGGTCAAGGTCACAGTGACATTAACATTGAAAATCCTGTTGCGGGCGTCAAACGAAAATTGTGTCCGCTCTGTAACTCTTCAACCCTTTGAAGAATTTTGATGAAACTTCAGACAAATGTTTTACCACATCAAGATGACGTGCAGAACGCATGTTCCGCATGGCTGGCTCCAAGGTCAAGGTCACAGTGACATTAACATTGAAAATCCTGTCCGCTCTGTAACTATTTCAACCTTTGAAGAATTTTGATGAAATTCAGACAAATGTTTTACCACATCAAGATGACGTGCAGAACGCATGTTCCGCATGGCTGGCTCCAAGGTCAAGGTCACAGTGACATTAACATTGAAAATCTGTTGCGGGCGTCAAACGAAATTGTGTCCGCTCTGTAACTCTTCAACCCTTTGAAGAATTTTGATGAAAACTTCAGACAAATGTTTACCACATCAAGATGACGTGCAGAACGCATGTTCCGCATGGCTGGCTCCAAGGTCAAGGTCACAGTGACATTAACATTGAAAATCCTGTCCGCTCTGTAACTCTTCAACCCTTTGAAGAATTTTGATGAAACTTCAGACAAATGTTTTACCACATCAAGATGACGTGCAGAACGCATGTTCCGCATGGCTGGCTCCAAGGTCAAGGTCACAGTGACATTAACATTGAAAATCCTGTTGCGGGCGTCAAACGAAATTGTGTCCGCTCTGTAACTCTTCAAACCCTTTGAAGAATTTTGATGAAACTTCAGACAAATGTTTACCACATCAAGATGACTACAGAACGCATGTTCCGCATGGCTGGCTCCAAGGTCAAGGTCACAGTGACATTAACATTGAAAATCCTGTCCGCTCTGTAACTCTTCAACTCTTTGAAGAATTTTGATGAAACTTCAGACAAATGTTTACCACATCAAGATGACGTGCAGAACGCATGTTCCGCATGGCTGGCTCCAAGGTCAAGGTCACAGTGACATTAACATTGAAAATCCTGTTTACATGATTTTAACTTGATTTGGCAGTCAAAGGTCATATCATCTTTGGAGGTAATTTAAAAAAGATATGATATATTATTTCATGTCTACTTTGTAACTTGTTTTTCATTATACAGAATTATCAATATAATTATAGTGAACAAATTCTTCTGTGCTGAACTCGTCCTACATTTCTCAACGGATTTTTTGTTCAAACTTTCACAGAAGCTTTGTCATCAAGCACCCTGGCACATATTGTCGGGGTTTTGTGATTATATAGTTTTTGACCTAATTATGGCCCTTTGTTTTTTTCCTTATACATAATATTATAGTGAACACTTCTTCAGTGGCAATTCCTCCTACATTATTCATGTTTTACATTGCACATAGTTACATTGTTTGTTGCTTGTATTTGTATTTCAAATACAACATATTTATCTACAATGGTGATAATTGAAAACCTGGTTTCATGGCATTGCCATGTTTCTTGTTTTTATTTTTTCTCAAGAAGAGAAAAAATTTCATGTCATTTAAATGAATTATAATTGATTAAATAAATTTAAGGGTCTGGTATGATTATTTTGTTTATTATGTTTATACCTGACCCTATTGCTGCCAGAACTTGTAAATTGTATTTGCTTGGGATATTTCTAAGTATTACAGGAATATTTTTCATTGTAGATGACAGATTGCTTAGTTTTCATTTGTGCATGTCAAAGTTTTTTCTTTATGGAATAAAATGAACACAGTATAATGATAAGATAATTTTTCAATAAACCTCTTATATATATCTCTTATAGATTAAAATATTGAACCAACAACTAGATGACAAAAATATTGAGATACGTGACATTAGAGCACAAGTTCAGAAAAATAATGAAAAAATTCACAGTTTGAATAAAACAGTTGGTAGGTTTTGTTTTTTATATATGAAGGATTTTTTATGGGATAATTATTATTTTGAAATAGTTCTAGACTTATCCCACAATACACAACATTGTGTGAATTGTTTCCCTGGAATTAATTGAAACTTATTGTTTATTCAACAAAATTACTTGGTTTTTTGGTTTGTCTTCAAGGCTAAACATAATCAATATTGGTGATTAAAAAATACATGCAAAAAAGTTAATTTGAAATCTACTTTTAAAGTTTTTAATGTTCAAAATCATAGTCTATGTCCTATATTGTACTGATCTTTTAAAAACAAATTGCTCTAGTTATGACAATATATTGTATAGTTTTGAAGATATCATTGTTTCCAATATCATCTTTTCTTTACATTAGTAAAAGGGTGTTTTTACAGTGTCTGCTTCTTAACCAATGGTTTTAGTTGGGTCATGATCATATTTCCTCTTTTGATATCATTACTTATTACTTCAAGTAAGCAACTTCAGAGTGGTCAAAATCTTAAACCTCCAAGTTTTTATCTTAATCAAGCTTAAATGGAATATGTATAAACTTTACATTTGTATTACAGATTCTTTTTGACACAAAAATGTTGAAACTGGCAAAGAGATGAATGAACAATGCTAAAAACAAAACATGGGTGATCTTAATAAACAGCTTGAATCATTACAGGTTTATAATCCTTTCAAATTGATTTATTGAATTGATGCATATTGATGGCTTTTTAAAAACACAACTGGTTTACTAGTAAATTAAAATTTGTTAAGAAAAAAATACTGAAAGGGGAATTGAAGCGTAAAACCTTATACTTTGTTGGTATGAATATATAAAAAAAATAAACTTGATAAAAGTATTTCAAGGAAAATGGGCATGAATGTGACAGTACTAAAAGTCATTAAATTTCATATTTTTACAATAAAATGTGAGTTTAAGATGATATCTTTTTGATTTATCGTTTTACTATTATAGATTGAGAAAGATAGTTTGGAACAGAAAATTAAGTGAAAGTAAGGAAGATGTAAATCAGTTTACAAACAAATGTTCAGGTCTACAGACAGAGCTGAGCTCTGCAAAACAGGAACATTGTCAACAGGTCCCCCCCCCCCCCCCCCAGACTTTTTGGGGGGAAATCAGAAACTAGAAAAGGCAAATAAAAGAGCAGTTTTAAATCAGAAAAAACAATCAAGTATGTACCTGGGGGAAGTAAAAAAAGAAAAAAAAAAAAACTTGCAATGGTTTATTTCATTAGAAAAAATGATTGAGTAATGTTGTGGTAATTAAGCAGCTAGCCAGTTAATATTTAACCCTTTTTACCTCATATATACGCGAAACAACACACTTTCGACCCCCTGCCCCCCCCCTTTTTTTAGGCGTGAAAATAGTGAAAAAATGTCCTATTTGGGCCCCAAACACATGTTTTCATTTGAGAAATGTTGCTAAAAAAAGTGAGCACTTTTTCGGCGGCGCCCCCATCCAAAAGATACATCAGGGGGTTGCCAGAAGGGGGATGTGCCCCCTTTTCTGTTTGGGGGGTTTGGGGAAGGGGGGCGGAGTCCCCCCCTCATCGCCAAGAAAATTTTTGGACTTGTGAGGAGGCTTAAAATGACCCAGGTCGATCATAAGGTAACGTGTAACCAACGCTGAAAAGCCTTGACTCTATCTCAATCCCTTGAGAAAGTTGCAGCACTTTGAAATAATTTTTGATGGAAAAAATCGAGGCAAAATAGTGATTTTTTGGAATTTTGAGATGTCCCCCCCTCGTTGCCATGGTAAAACAGGAAATTTAAGAACTGAGCATGTCGTTACAAAGGCAATGGTCCAGTCAACATTTTGTGGCCAATTTTGAATTAGTATTGAAGCATTTTTCATAGTTTTCAAATAGCAGTTTGAACTTGTAAGAGGAGGCTTTTCAGTGAAAATGGCCATTTTTCACAATATACTCTGGGGAAAGGGGGTTAACAAATGGAAATGTTACTAGACTGTTAATGTTAGAGTACTTTATGTTATTACAGACTGAATAATGAGAAATTAAAACAATAAAAAATTTAATAGGTTTTTAAGTCTTAAAAATGCTTTAAATTTAAGTCTTTTTCTTAATAAGTGCTAAAAATGAAAGAAAGTAAAATACCTTGAATTTTTATGCTGTTTAATAAATAGCTTAAAAAGTGCTAGAATTTGTTTAACAAATTGAAAAACATGCTAGTTGCATGTGAAAAAGCTGATAGTTTTCATCAATGAGCCTAGTAATACCAATATTAGTAAAAGAAAATCTTTGTGTAAGGAAATAGTTTAAAGTTGCATTTGTAAAAATATCACATAATAGGTGTAAATAAAAGTGATAAAGCACCCAAAATAAAAATAAGACTTCAATGTTTTATCATTATAACTGTTTGTAATTACTTGATCCTTGGTAACAAGTGATATATGTGCGTAAAAAAAGGGGTTTTAAAAATGGGAAAGCTTGCTTTAAAAATGCTTAAATTTCAGCAAAAAATGTCTATATGAATCCCTGTTTGATCAGTAGCATTTGAATATATCAATAGTAAAGTTGATATAAGACATATGAGAGCCCAGGCAGGCTAGACATGGTTTAAATTTACTTGTATCAAGACCCATGTTGTTAACAAAAGTTCCTTTTTTAAGCTGCATTTGTCTATGTGTAACTTACTTTCTTTGTTAATTTAACAATAATTTTAATACTTTTAATTTTTTTTTCAATGAAAATGGAGGATGAATCTGGAGTCTCCGCATGCTGCTTTAATAATTGTAGGATTTTCTGTAGGCTGTGTGACATATTTTTGTTAACTACTATTCTTTTGTTTTAAAATGTATTTTTTTAAGCTTTCTGAATGTTTCCTTCAGATTGCAGTTCTTACAGAATGACTTTGACAAAGCAAAAGCACAATGTTAGAAGAAGTGAAAAGTTCAAAAAGGTTTGAATTAGGAATATTTTAGAATATTATATTTGAAACATAGTGACAGTCAACATTTTGGTAAAAAGTTCATCTTTAAACATTTGATGATCATGTCTTGACCTCACATGTTCAAGCATGAAAAATTAAAAGATTAAATTTTTTCATGTCTAACATTATACTGAATTTCTGACAGTATTTAGTGGTTGAATAAAATTTGAAATTAGGAAATTGTTCAAAATATTTTTTCTCTGGTTGAGTAAGAGGTTTGACGCATCTGGTGTAAATGAAATTCTTTGCCTTTCAGATATTTTGATTATGGAAAAAACAGAGTTACAGAACAGAGTTGTTGAACTTGAAAAGCAAAATGTAAGTTTATTTCTATTTTGAAGTTTTCTTAATTACATACTGTTCATAAGTAATAAGTCACTATTTAGTAAATATTTAAAGTCTGTTTTAAAAATATGTATGTAATTTTTAAATGTATGAATGAGATGCCTTTATTTAGTTAATTCAATTCTTATTAAATTATACATATCAAAGTTCCAAGGGAAGTAACCTGTCCTAAATCAATATGCAAGGGAGGTAATATACATTTTTGACCAATGAGCTGGTATCTTTCTGGCAGTATTTCCTAGGGAACAGCTTATAAGACCAGTCCATAAGAGGATGAATAGTAACATATATATATATATATATATATATATATATATATATATTATATATATATATATATATATATATATATATATATATATTCTAATCATATCATAATCATTTGAAGATAGTAAGAATTGTACCAATTAAGTAAATACAGATCTCTTATGGATCAATATTTCCTATAGTGAAAAATGCATGATATTCTCAAACAATACCAACAGTGTGTCACAGCCATTATTTTCATAACAAAAGTAAGATAAGTATTCTAGATTTTGAAACAAATGTTCACCATTCAGCAATTTAGTTGATGGTAAAAACACTAAAAATTGTACATAATGCATTTTAATGTTTTACGGGTTTCTGTAAAGGGAATGATCAATGGTTTACATTGAACAAACTTTTTAAAGTGAATATAGAAGTAACATCTATGCATTAATTCATTATTAATAAGTATTACTTAACAATATACTCTGCAATGTCTTTTGTTAATTTATTTTTAATCTAGAAAAAAACAACATATTTCACACTGTTAGCAGTAATAAGCTTTTGTAAACACACAATTATATGTTGCAGGCTGAGTTACTTGCCAGGCATGAAGAAAACTGTATTACAATCACCCAGCTTACAGAAACTGTCCAGGAAGTACAAGGACAATTGTATACTAGCCAACAAGAAGGAGCTCATCTTTTAGTAACTATTTCATAGTACTCATTTTAATGTTTTAATCAAAATAGAACTATTACAAATGGAAAAAAACTCAACGTTTTGATTTTTTATTGTTAGATTTAAGTATTTAGATAGATTTTACTAGGGTTTTACTACAATTGGATCTGAAGATTTCTGCCGAGTGTGATCCGTTCTAGAAAGATTCCATGAGAGCAAAATGCAACTAATAGATCAAAATATCCCTATTATGATTATATTAACCGTTTTATTATACATTGTTGAGTTTATACTGTATATTCTAAAATAACATAATTGGCATAACATTGCAAATCATTATTTCTGTCAGATCATATTTGTGCATGTGAAAAGCATTGTGGTCTCTTGAACTGTATTAAATATGACGCGAATAATTATTATGATTTGTGAAGCCACCGTCTGTCAGGGAAAACATTTTAGAATCTAGTCCCAGAAAATAGATATGAATTTTGACTCCACCTACTGTCATATTTATATTTCATATTTGTTTTTAACTTTTTTAGTGCAAATTTAAATTTTCTGTTTTTAAACTAAAAATAGTTTACATTTCTAAAAATAGTTTACATTGAGTATCAGCTAGTTTTCATAGATAAAGCTACATGCACTTTAAATCTAAAAGAATATGATTTAATGACTTTGAATGTTCAAGAACTGCTCAATTCTTAAAAACGGACATTTTATTGTTTATTTAAAAACATACTGCAAAAATCCATTTTGTTGTATGAGTGTTTTGTTTCCAATGTTTATATATGTTTTTTTTTTTATTGTTATAGCTACAATTGAATGAAATCAGGGCTCAACTTACACTAGTGGAAACAGAGAAGTCACAGTTGGATGAGAAAATGAAAGTCATTGAGTCAGATATGGTTTATAAAAAGGTACTATCGCATTATTTGGCTGTTATGTTACTTAAAAGATCATGTATGTAAGTGGCTTTTCAAATGTGATTTAATTTCATATATGCTATTACTAAATTGATTGTCTGATGTATAAAACTTTTTTCATTAAGCAAATTTGTTCCCTAAAAGGTTATTATGCCCTCTGATCAATAGATCCAGAAGGCAAAATTTTGTTTCAGGCCTGTCTGTTCTCTGTTTGTCACAAAACTTTAACTTTGACCAAAGCATGAAAGCCCTTCAACCTACAGGCTTCAAACTTCACACATGCACATACCTTGATGAGCTCTACCGCCAGATCCACTAAGAGTCAGTGTGTCAAAGGTCAGCATGGTCAAGGCATTGCATTCATTTGAAGGTAGCGCTTGTTATTATGAAATTACAGTATTTTTTTGACAAAATATAGGCTGGCATGACAGATTTACAGAATGAACTATTAGAGAAGTCACAACAGATAGCAGCTTTGTCTCAGCAAATACAACAGTTGACAGGACAGTTGAATGCTGAACAGTAAATTATTTATTACATTCTACCTTAAGGTGTTGGTATATATATTAGCCTGAAATTAAAATATAGAGTTACACCCAACTTTTCTCTACCAGCAAGTAATTGATTGCATATGAACATAGGTTATTCATTGAATCATTAAATTAATATATGCTTGTCAAAATAGTTAATGTTTGTATAATAATTTCCTGAATAAAAAATATTGCTACAAAGATTATATTTGTTTTATTTTGGAAATTAGTTTCTAGAAATATAGTGAATAGAAATGTCTTTTAGGTGCAATCACAGTCAAACACAAGCAGAAATGAAATTATGTCACAATGAACTCAGTAATACACAGAATGAGCTGAAACTTAAGCTGGAACAACTTGAGACATTAAAATTGCAACTGAAGGTAAGGTTAGATGTTTTGTTAGATTCATAATGAACTATCAAATATATAATGTAATGAAGTATAATGAAGAGAGTCAGTCTTGTAGATGTATAATGAATTGTTATATTTGTCACAGTCAGAAGTATAAGAAACACACTGTTAGTTAATGTAGTACCTTACATAAATGTGTCCCATTGTTACATTTGTGATTGTCAGCCTGTCTTTAAATAATATAGTTTTCAGGGTGACTCCAGCAGTAAGTAGGCACTATTGTTTTTATCAAACTACAAAATTTAGTGCATAACCTTGAGTAGATTCTACAAAACCCACTTAATGCCATTAACAAGTCAAATGCATGTTTACATATCAATGCATTATGCATAGAATATCTAGTGGAAATGCTCTATGAACTTTTTACTTAGATTTTGCTATGGCCTTGGTGACATTATTTGTACAATTGGCTTTGGTCCATCACATGTTTGTGGACTGGATGATTCAGGTCACTATAGTGCTAGAAGATCCTCAGTACTCTGTGTACTATTTAGTGAATGTCAGGAACAATGTACTTTGAATGTACATTTTAAACTAGTGTCATTTTCTCTGACATGAAAATGTTTTGTTTATGTCAATCTGTCATATAGATATTGAAATAATTATCTGTTTAATTTTATGGGGGAAAATTTCTGCTTCTGTTCTTGTACAATATTAGATAAACATGTAGTGTTTTTGTGAAAAACTTCTCTCTAAAGAAACACATAATTGTCCTACTTTTTTTCTTATTTTGTCTGATGAAGTTATGTTCTTTTGATGTAATTGTATATCAATTAAAAGTGAATGCTTTCGATGTTTTAATGTTAAAACATGTCACTATGAAAAATTGAAATTTTAGAAAAGTTTTTTTTTCAGAACATAAGCAGCAAGAATGAGGATTTGGAAAAGAAATTAAAACAAAAAGAAATGATGGAAGCAAATTTGAGGTATCCATTTAAGTTTTGATACTACTTTTATCACAGATAAAGGAAGTTTGAGGAGCTAAAGATCCTCAGTAAGGATCCTCAGCAATCTTGTTGCAATTTTCTTGCCAAGATCATGACTTTAAAATTGTACTTAAAGGAAGAACTTAAAACTAAAGTAACATACTGTAGATGGTGCTAGAAAAATGTGTATTCTAATCAGCTATGACTTAATCAAGTGCCAGTTTTTATTATTTCTCTTTGTTGTAAATTTCTTGTCTTCAACTTTGACTTAAAGAACATAATTATACTTAAAACCGTGAAAAAGATTTATGTGATTCTTAAAATATAGATTTTTGGTGTCAAGAAAAAATGTGCAGTGTCACCTATTTATAATTACTATATGATATGGTCCCATATTTGAATTATCCTTCTTTGTTACCAATCTGTATACAATTTTTTCAATTGATAATCTTTATTTCAAGGCATCAAGTTCAATATTTGGATAAACACTTCTAAAACAAGTAATGTGTTCTGTTTTTCAGAGATGAAATTGATGCACTCCAATCAGAGCTTACTTTATTGAAAGAGAATAATGAAAGTTTACTAGAAGAAAGACAGCAATTGGTAAGACATATTTTGTTTTCTATGTTGACGATTTGCAATTATAACATCTTTTTAATTTGATACTATTGCAGTTTCAAACTAAAGGGTATTATAACACTTAGCACTAGGATGAAATATATTACTTCGAATTTCTCAAAAATTTAGCTGTTATAAATGGAGTGGGCACAGAACTGATGCAAACAGTAAATAATTATATATGCTTCCCAGTCTACAGAATATAGAAAATAATATTATGAGGAAAATGTGTACATGTTATATTATTCATTGTTTCAGGATGAGGCTCTTCAAGGGAAACTGTTATCAAAAGAGAAGACAGCATCAGACTTAGAAACAAAAAACAAAACATTGAAATCAGAAATGACTGCTAAGAATAAACAAATCAAGGAACTAGAAAAAGAGGTTTGTTGTTTTTATAATTTTGAAACTTTCTCCTTTACATTGTAGAATTTCTAGTCATAGCTACTTCAAGAAATAAGTTATTTCAAAGAAATTTATCAATGAACCTTTTTCATGTATGTAGAGAAATGAATATTTGATCAAGACCAAGTTTACCTTTTGTGATAACATTTGAGCTTTAGATCATCATAAAATAATCCCTCTGATTATTAGTCATAAATATCTATAAACTTCTGTTTTTGGTATTTAATTGTTGTAGTGTTAATATGTGAGTGCTCCTTTTTCATTTCAGATTAGAAGTCTAAAATCTAAACTAACTTCTGAAAACAAAGCTTTAGGAAACAAGAATGTGGAAATTACTAAACTTCAGTCAGATTTGGAAGCAGAGATGTCATGTAAGACTGAACTAGAGTCAAAAATTAAAGAACTTGAGGAATATGTTGAAAAAATACAGGAAGACTTGAAAGCTGCAGAAAAGATTGTATGTTTTATTTTTTTTTCTGCTCATCAATTTTCTGTTTAAGTAATACATGTGCTGAATCAGGGTGGGTGATCACATGACAATGTTTACAATGTTTTGTGGCAATATTTTGATGAGAATATGTGTAACAAATTTCTGTAAGCGTATCAGGAAAAATACAAGATCTACATTGGAAATAATGTCCCATTGGAACTGGCAAATATTTACCTGGAATATGTTTATTATTCAAATATTGATAGATATGACGTAAAATTAGTAAAAACAATTAGCGGTAACTGAATGTTACTGTGTATATTACTGATCACCCACTCTGTAAATAGTTTACATAAAACATTTGTAATTAAAACCTTGATATGCTTTATTATAAAGCATATGAGGGTTCTAATTACAAATGTTTTATGTAAATTACGTTTATTGGTAAAAATGATGCTTTAATTTTTTTGTTGGTTGAATTTTTGAATATTGGGGGATTTTGATCCCACGGCGGGAGATCAGGAGACTGTTGAAAATCGGGGTTTTTTGTCCCCCGGCGGGTATGTATGTTTATAATGGAAACTTGTGAAATTTAAGTGTATTTATCAATAATATATCATTTATTGTTGGTTTCCATTGGAAAATGGTGATGTTTATATTTCTTTTATTAGTACTGCAGGTTTGTATTAAGAAATTTATAAGTTTTTTATATAACATATATATTTACATGAGTGCCATTAATTTATGAAATAATTTTGTTTATTTGGATAAGCCTTGATAAGTTCAACCTACCAAACCCATTTTCAGGTCAGAAGGTCTAGGTCAGTGAAAAACCTAAAACTGGCCATTGAATCAAAGTGCATTTTATGCACATTGATGACGTCTACTTCCCACATGAATTTTCAAGTGTAACAGAAGATGTTTTTGTGACCTTTGTATCAAATCTCTTTATTTAGGAAATATTTCAGTTAACCATCTATCGTTGAGGAAAGTAGAGAGCTCTGCTACAAGGACAGTCTTTGTTAAAACATGGTCATTAAAATTATTTTTGGCAGGCAACAGAATCTAAGAAACATGCAGCAAAGTGTCAGTCTGAGAAGGAACAGATGTTCTCACAGTGTGAAGGTCAAAGGACAGAAATGAGTTCTATAATGCAGGGTTACAAGACTGACCTGGATAAAAACTTGTCAAAGAAAGAGAAGGAGGTTGAGACATTAAAAAATAAAATTGAAACAATGAAAACAAAACACAAGAAAGAGGTAAGAGTTCATTTTAATGCTTAATTATAATTTAAATACATTCCTCACATGAAAGAACTGTGCAGAATGAAACATATTCTTTACAATTAAAATGTTTTTGATCATCCTTTTTCCAGATTTTGTTTAATTACATGTACTTGCAAACTAAAAGAAAATTAAAAAAAAAAAACAAGTTTGTATTGTTATAAATAGAACACTATCATTAGAATCATGTTTACATATAAGCCTTGGAATGTCTCAGATTTATAACAGGAATATATTTTAGGTTGATGACAAAGTTTCAAAGCTAAATAGTGAAATAGAGCAGCTGAGAAAAACCATTTCTGACTCAGGATATCAAATGGTTAGTTTAACATAGTTAAACATATTGATGACGATTAATTTCATATAATTCTGCTTTGATTTACTGTAGTTAGAAAGTTACAGTTGCATTATTTTTAAACAATCTTAATATAATGTATTACGGAATTTTAGGTTAGTTTAGAAACAAATTTTGATTTTTAGTACATTATCATTTGATAGATATTTTCGGATCTCCCATAGACAATAAAGTATTTGTTAGATATCCAAACAATAAACCAACAGACTTAACAGTTAACTGATCCACTCGAAAAGACTTACTAAAAGTTAAATTGTTGAAATGTTTGATTTGTTTATATTATCAAATATTTCAGGAAAGCTTGCAAAAAAACTTCAGTGAGAAAGAAAACAAAGTACAGGAACTTGAGAAAGAGAATTTACAAAAGGTATTTTAACTGCTATGATTTCTTGAAAAAATATAAACAAAACAATTATTGAAATACATTTACAGATGAGTTTAGATGAGCAAAAATCAATCAATTCCTTAGCAATTATCAGAACTGATTAAAAAAAATTATTCTATATTTAACAGTTGTAAGTCCAAAAACTTTTTTCAAAATGATTGTATGTTTGATAGGATGAAGAGTTGAAAGGTTTACAGGAAGAATTAGGAAAGATGTACATTAAGAGTACTACTACCAGTGTAGTTCAAACAAGTCCATTTCCAGATAAAACATACCAGAAACAAGGTGGAAGTAAAATCCCTACACCAGTTGTACCTCCTAGGACACCTCAGGTAATTCTCATTTTTATTGCTTTACATTTTAGAGATATTAAGAGGAAACAAACGGTGAAATGTAATTTTATACCTTATAGCTTGAAAATATATTACAAGAATAGAAATCAATGGTAAACATGCAGATGTCACAAGCATGAATCTGACCATTCAGATTTGATAAATTCAATGTTTACACATTATTTATATTTAGATCATGCCAACAGTTTCGAGCAGTATATTGAAGACACCAGCTTTACTTAAAACACCACAGACATTGAGGACTCCATCCAGTGTAAAAACTCCACAGAGATCCATTCTTAAACAGCTTTCTGGAAATTCTGCCTCCAAAAAAAGAAGAGTTGTTTTTGCATCAAAAGCTGATGATGAAAACTCTGAATCTGGGGAATCCTCATCGTTTGAAGTTATGGATATTGAAGTAATATTATCAAAGATTAATAACATTGAGTTTTTGCTTAACTAGTGGAATAGTACTGTTGTATATGATACAACGAAACATAATATTGCATGAAAAAGAAAATGTTTCATTTTTGGTTAATCATGCTTTAATAATAGAATAAACTTGTATAATATGTACAATATCCATAAACTTTTAACAACTCTTGATTAAAACTTGCTATTTCAAAGTTTCAAGTAACATCTGTTTTTTTAAGTTCAAGTTTTTATAGAATAAAGAGCCCTTTGTTTGCATCTTTGCTTGATTATTGTAATTTTATTCATGTGAATATCAATTTTTCCAATGTTATAGAACAACCTTATATTTTATCTGCCTTAGTTCTTTCGAGATCTAGAAATTGGTCTACTGTGTTTAATGTGATACACAAGCAAACTTACTTTTTTATTCAGGATGGAAGGAATGGGAAGACCTGTACAACACCTTTAATACTGAAACATTCACCGAAACCAACTACACCAAGAATGGACAGTAATAAGAAAAATTCATCAATACCTCTAAGTAGAACTCCGAGAGGACCCCCTGTTGATCTCAGCAAGAAGAAAGTAAGTTGCTTTAATGTTTATTGTACAAGAGAGGCAAATATTGAGGTCCTTTAGGTATATTTTAATTTTCATTTGTTTTGTAGTCTGCTAGGGCCAACTCTAATAATTTTATCGTAAGGTTGGAATAAATCATCTTGGAGAAAGACTTATTAAAAAGTGTATCACTTTTTATTTATGTTATGATATAATCAAAGGTAAAATTAAGAACCGATTCTCATTTATTACCTATGAATTAAAAATTAAATTTCATAAATTTAGAAAACAAAACTTAAAGAGAATGATATTAACATGATGGCTGATGATGAAGAAATGCCCTTGATAGTAGCTGACAAAGTGAAGGTAAGTACATGTACTTGTTAGTTATCACCCAATATCTATGTAATATTTGCTTATTTTAAAATCTGCTGATTAATGTTTTTGGAATAACATGATTGGGTTTTGTAGGTAAATTAAAATTTTAGAGAATAAAAACATTACACTTATTTATCAATTTATTAACCTTTGATGAATATTCAGGAATGTACCTGCTGTTTTTGTTTTGTGTCAGATGTTGTTTGGTATAACATACTTTGAACAATTTGAAATTGCACTAAATGCAATGTTAAAAATGACCGAAGACAAGGAAATTCTTTAATATTATAGTGAAGGCATTATTTGAAATATTGATTATTATTACCTAATGCATTCTATAAATACTAATTCCTTATTTACAACTGTTTGATTACTGTTAATTGTTATCTATTCATTCAGAAGTTTTAATTTTTAACTATTCTTGGAATAGTTCGGCACTTCTAAGTCACCCTTTTGTGGGTGTTGGTATACACTTAAGGTTTTGCATGCAACTGAATATTTCATTATTTTCTGACAGACATTTTAAAGATCCCACATTTCTTATAGGTCTATTTCAAAGAACAATAACTTCAACACAAATTGAATAGAGGGTATTTGTTTAGTTCGGTGTAAGATCGGAATATATTTCACCGAGTGAGCACCAAAAGGTATATTTCACGAGTGGCGCAGCCACGAGTGAAATATGAATTTTTGGTGTTCACAAGGTGAAATATATTTCGATCTTACACTAAACTAAACAAATTTTCTTTTTATTACATGCAAAGAAACGTTTTATAAAGACATAAAACCTAATATACTGAATGAAAAGCGCGCCAAATAATAATACAACGTGACGTCATTTACGACGTCACGTCATTAAGTTGGTACCCAGTACTGTGCACGCTGGTATTTCACTGAAACAACATAAGGGGCTTAAATTCAAAACGGTGAAATTATCAAAGTGGTAATTTCACTGTTTCAAACAGTGAAATAACCAGTTTTTATATCACTGATATATTTCTATAATCCACCGAAAAGCATGTAATAAATTGAATTAAACTCTTGTGAACTATGAAAATTCCTTGTAAAAATTTAAATGTAAAGTCTGTCTTTACAACTATGGAAGATAGTCTCTTGAAACATCAAGTATATATATCAAGTTCCATAACAAGCCACTGTAAATTTAGAGCATTCTTTATTAAACCTTTGCATTTCCTGTCTTCATCAAACTGAAGGTATGCATTTGTTTTTTTGTTAAAAACAAAGGTCACTTATCAAGAGCCATAACTCTAGTATGAATGTATTACGGATTTACCAAGACAATTCTACATGGCTCTTGTGTAGTATTGATACTTCTCATTTGACAGCAATTCAAATGAAATGGTATCTGGATCTCAGTATGGTATTGAACCAGAATTTATTGGTTGTAAATATTCAGTCATTAATTGATACACATTTAGACATATATACGAGTACTCATACTGTTTGGGATAGAATCAAGAAATATTATTTATGGATTGATATTCAGTTATTGATACACATTATGACATATATAGTGAGATAGAATGTAGAAGTATTATATATGAACTGATAACTCTGCAATAATGATACTCTTTGTCTCGTTTGTTATGTTTGATTTAAAATTTGTCAATCTAATGCATGATAAGGATATTTTGTTTGAAAAGGACAAGAAAGAGAAACCATCATCCGTTAGAAAAGCACCAAACAAGAGTGCAGGAAAGTTTTTCAAGAGCAGTCCAAAACAACGGAAGGATGTGAAGAACACAGATATGTCTTGGTTTGAAAATGATGATATTTTCGGATTTGCACTTGAAGATTAACTTATTTTTTTGTAGAACATTCTCATTTAAAACAAAGATAACTTTAACTTTATTGAAATAGTCTAGATAAAGAATTTTTGAGATTTTGTTTCGCTGAAAATATTACTTTTGGGTTTTCAAAATAATATATTATGAACCTTTGTACATGTATATACAGCTGCTGCGAAAAAGCTCTAATGTTTTAGGGGAAATGATATGAATTGTCAGTACACAATATGAAGATAATAAAAATATCAAATATTGAAGAATAATAATATCTGTCATATGTTTCGGTTAAGATAGGAATATCCTTCCCGAGGGGACGAAGGCCTGCCGAGTTATCACTCATGGGCGGGTTCCCGAGGGGCAGATATTCCGATCCGAACCGCAAACATATATCAGATATTTTTTCTTGCATATTCTGCCATAATATTTCATATTTAAAATGCCTTATCTCAATATGATATATGTTCATGGAAATTAAAGTCATTTCATCCATAACTAATTTCTTACAATAGCGTATGAACTTACAACTTAAATAACAATGGTGAAATGATGTCATCCTAAGCACATATTTCCCTTCTAAAATGACGTCATTTTAACGCAGTTCATTCATAAAGTGCGCTAAAATGACGTTGTTTGGCACGCGACTCATCTGGCACCCCCATGCCAGATGAAATTTCCGGCATGGGTAAAACTCACGGAAACGCCAGTCTGCTATGCAAGAAAGAATAAATGAAACCAGTATCAGGGATGAATTTTTTGGTTGACATCATTATTCAGTGTTTTTTATCTCACAATTATTTTGATCATACAGCATTTTAATATATTTTTCATATTACCTCATATGTATCACCATCTAAGATTTCAGTAGCTTACGTATTAAAGTATAAAATTAATTTTAACTTGTGATAAGATTGATCTGAAATGAAATATCATTTAATGATTGTTCTTTAGAGGATTTATTGTTTTTAAGAAATCTCATAGGTTACACTTACCGAAGTTCCTCATTTTCTATCATTTATTGACCAGTGTCTGAGATATTTGGTATCTGGTACCTTGCATGGTTCTCTACCCTTGGACAGTCAGGTCAAGGTCAGTACGACTACTTTTCCTTTTAGAGCTTTAGTTTATGTATGTATTTAGTTTGAAGTTTCCGTTTACTGACTTCTTCCCTTTCATGGTGTTTACATTGGGGACAATTTCATAAAGACTAAAAATTGACTTTTTTCTACATTCCCTAATAAAGCAGCCATTCATTTACTTGTGTAAGATATTCTGTATTAAACTAATTTGTATGAACATCTATCTATTAATGGGGTTTGAAGTAGATTGCCATAATTTGGTTATGGTCATGTGTGCTAAAATTCATTTGATACTTTTATATTATGTAAGTTTTTTAAATATACTAATGCAGCACATTTGTGGTCTATCAGTGTCACTGGTATTCTTGATTGTTAAACTTGAGTTATTTGAAGTTACATTGTACATTGCATTTGTGATATCAGTTTGTTTAATGTGATTGTTATATGATGTATTTTTCTCAGCCTTGTCAATGTTATACTGTGATACTTTACTGTAACAATTTGGTACAGGTAGTGATTTACAATATCTTACCATATTTCTGTGATAGTTTTGTTTTGAAATGTTATGAATAAAGTAAAACTGAAAAGTATTGAATGCTTCCTTCATTTTATTATGCTTTACCATGTTTACCTGGTAATTAACTTTCAATTTGTTAATACATGTACAGTGTAGTACTTGGTAACACTGTATTACATTTAAAAGTTGAACTGATATTATGCACCCAAATATCTAATTAACTTGTAATGGGAATGGGAATTACATGTACACTTTTTAAAGGCGTAAAACACTAAACAGATAAGAATTGTATTTATTTTTATTACAAAATTTGTGAAAAGTCACAATCTCATAAGTTACAATTTGTGTTGGTGTATATAAGTAAATTAATTTAATCTTTCAAACCCTAAAGATCGTTAAAAAAATACTAAAAATGTAAGTTAAATCTAAATTGATAAAATATGTACATTTATCTACAAAAAAAGGTTCTATAAAAGATTAAATGCATATCAGAAAATGGCTTTAAAATTTGCTAAAATGTTTATGGAAAATTTATGTAATCAATGTCATCATTCTTCAATCATGATTATTATACGATTATGCTACTCTGTGCGGGATTCAGATAACGATGTCCTCATCAAGTAGACTAGGTGTGTATGGGCACATAACGTCCATCACCTGACCCCATTGGAACTGAACAGTCTTCTCTTCCCAATCCAGTTTTGCGCGGTTGTTTATAAGTTTCAGCTGAAAAATGAAATGAATTTATTCATTTTACATGTGATAATTTTAAACCTGCCTCAATTTCTAGTTTTTTAAGTAATACGGAATATATATCGAGGGATTGTTCAATGTTTATGAGGTTGCGAAAAGCAAGAGCGAAAGCTACAAATTTGAGTTAAAATATTTTCATTATTTATCTAAAGAAATTTGTTTTGTTTTTATCTTGATTGAATTTTATTTTTATTTTTCATTGAAACTAATGAAACATTACACAACTGGCGCTGATTGATAGGGCATTTTATTACATGCTTTTCGGTGGTTTATAGAAATATATCAGTGATATAAAACTAGTAATTTCACTGTTTCAAACAGTGAAATTACCACTTTGATAAGTGCACAGTACTGGGTACCAACTTAATGACGTGACGTCGTAAATGACGTCACGTTGTATTATTATTTGGCGCGCTTTTCACTCAGTATTAGGTTTAATGTCTTTTTAAAACGTTTTTTTGCATGTAATAAAAAGAAAATTTGTTTAGTTTAGTGTAAGATCGAAATATATTTCACTTTGTGAACATCAAAAGTTCATATTTCACTCGTGGCTGCGCCACTCGTGAAATATACCTTTTGGTGCTCACTCGGTGAAATATATTCCGATCTTACACTGAACTAAACAAATATCCCCTATATAGTGGCGTTATGGATTTCTTTGTATGTTATGTATTTAGTTTTGCTGTATCTGTTATTGTTGAACATACTGAAGGGTAGAACAAATATTTGCGAATGACCCTTGACAGAAGACTCGTCAAAATACAGAATCTACCCATGCGACCATCAATCGTCTGACCATGGTCTGTATACTGATTGCTATTAAGTTAGTACACCTTTTGAACAATTCCTTCAAATGATGGTTTAGTCAAGGTTGTCCGTTATAGAAAGCGTGATATGAGTTATTAACGTAATTAACTTACCGCATTTAGAACAGGTGAACGTATAGTCTGCTTCCTTAAATCCTTCCAGTCTAATGTACTGAACCACCTGAAAAATGTGAAGTCCTGAGAATAACTTCAAGTTTTGTGGGGTTTTACGACAAAACCCTAGAGCTATTTTGATGTTAAAGATGCAAAGGGGGTCCGTGACCCGTGGGTAAGGTCATTGATTTCATACTACTTGTCTCACCGTTGTGAGTTCGAACCCGCCATGAGCTTTGGATTCTTTCATATCCAGCTAGCTTTACAGAACGCCGATGGGTTCTGCTTAGATGCAAGTTCGCACCAGAAATAATGCACGGACGGCCTCATGAGGGCTTCTAGCACCAGAAAAGCTGTATTATCGGCATAAAACCATTACAGTGTTGGTGGGTCGTAAAACCCAACCAAAAAGTTAAAGGTGCTGTTCAGAACAAATTGGGGAGAAATTAAAATTGCTGTGAGACAGTGTTTAGAATACGTTATAATGTTTCTGTCATGGCTTGCGTTTACAGCACATTTTACTTCGTTCTCTACTACTTTCATGTACAAATACAAAAAATCCACATTGATAAGAGTGTAATCGTCAAATTTGATATGACATTTGCTGAAAATGACTGCTTTTTATTACAGAAAACTTAAACAGTAAAAGTGTAACTGTAATAGTTAATAATCGGCTATCGACTTAACTTAGTTGCTTTTTGTATCATTGCCCCGAAAAAATCCACAAATCTATACTATCCCTATTGCAATTGTGGGTAATGAATTACAAGAAAACAAGTAGTAAAGAGACCTACTCTTCATAAAGGAGATTGCTCCTCTCTACGCCAATCCAGAATCGTTCCTTAGGGTTTTTCCTGAAAAGAAAAAGAATTGAGTTTGAACTGAAAATAAGCATATTCTGAAAGCTATATAACTGAAAATTTGTCGCCAGGTCAAGGCCTACCGGGGCATGGTTTTCATTAGTTACTATTAAAAGCCCTGTCCCGGAAAGCCTCGACCTTTGACCCCGTGACCTATTTTTTCTGTCAGGTAGAGCTTGTTAATGTGGATGCACCTGTGTAGTGTGGAGGCTGTAAGTGGGATGACTGAACTGTTAAAGTACATGTAGTGTGAAAAATAGACGGACAAACAAAATGCTTTCCCGATCGGGGAAATGGTAGGGTGGGGATTTAAAATGAATGAAATATTTTAGAACCATGCCTTACACAGACATTTAAGAATAAACTGTTTACCTCAGACAGGAATCAATGAAGAATTCTCCCGCGAAAGAGAAAAGTTCCGGATTGTAGATTGGTCTGCATCCTCTGTGAATATTCTGAACAGTTTGTTCTCTCGTTTCACCGTCAAATGGTGTCCTACATACAAAAGTCCAACAAAAATATTTATATATGAAGTATGTCGATGTAAAAATGATAATTCATTTCAGTATATATATCTGCCATGGTATTTCACGGTGCATTATCACTTAATTATTGTCATGGCTAAAACAACAACAACAACAAAAACATAATGAAAAACTAATAATGACACAAACGCTAAACAGCTATGCAGTATTTTTTCTATTGATTCAATAACTACAACACAAGATTTTCAGAAGTCGTACTTAACTGTTATCTGACTCAAGTTCAAGTTCTTTGTTGACATAACTCGTAGTGTTATTTAGGAGGAGATTTTAATTAGGTTGGTATATATATATATACAAGCGAAACTTTCAGGCCCTATAAGCTCAAACAGAACGACAGTGTATTTGCATCAAATTTCCAAAACAGAGATAATATACTAGTATGAAAGTTACCATCCAGTGATGATTTCATACGCCACACAACCGACACTGAAAATGTCTGCAGCAGTTCCACGGTTACCACGGTGATGTTCGGGTGCAGCATAGGCCGGGGTATAAGCTTCACTACCCTCAATATCACTCTGGTCCGACATCTTCACAAACCCGGTCTACATTAAAACACAAGTTGAAACTAATAATATGCTTTTTACGTCTTAAGACGTATTACATGTTATATACCTACTTGGTTTATCACAAGTTTCTTCTCTAACTGCATTATTATTTACCATCGTATTGCATATATTCTTTCTTCAGTAGCAAATCTTTTTATTAACATTTGTGTTCCATGAAATTAAGATCGTTTATAACATTTGCATGGTGGAAACCTTTGCATGTGTTAACGCTGTTAAGACAATAAAATACGTACCAGAACGGGATAACCAAGAGCATTGATTAAAACCTTGGATGGTTTGATGTTCCCATGTACAATGTTGCGCTGATGGAGATAGTCGACACCAAGAAGTACGCCAGCGCTGATAAACTGTGCGTGTAATTCCCCTATCACGTGTCGACTTTGGTCACGTGACAATATTTTTTGGAGGTCACCAAAGCTATGGAACATGCTCATGAACCAGAGTTTACCGTATGGGCCAGTCATACAGTCAGTAAATCTGAATTAGATGATCCAACAAAGTTACAACCATATGATTCATTTAAATTGAAATTATTTGCTATTCTTGAATAACAAAATCATTGGGTTATTTTCTTTACGTAGACAAAGGAGGAACAAAAATTGATATAAAATTGAATTGTGATAAACATACAAAATAGTAAGTTATAATCTATCTAGATATTTGACTTGAAGATGCTCAATTAAAAAAAAAATAACAACAACAAAAACATGCAGTATGTAACAGAACTAACATGGTATTCTTTTGTTCGTGATAAAATCTTTTAGCAAAGTAAAGGTTACAGAATTGTTTAAATACCCTAGAACAAAATAGCAAAGTAAAGGTTACAGAATTGTTTAAATACCCTAGAACAAAATAAGAATTGCTCATATGTGCCATGTCCAACGCACTGATTAGATCTGCTATTTCCGAATCAAACACAGTTAATACAACTTGCTTGTTCTTGAAAATTGCCTGGAAAAAAAAACATTATTATTAAAATATTCGTCACACACATTATTTTGCAGTTAAAAGAACTTTGTAACATGATACCGTAAGATGCTACTTCGATCTATCTTATATTTTCATACTCTTCTAATACAAGTTTATCCTTGTTCATTTGTGTCATACCCAGCTTAAAATTAATTAAATCAACTCATAACGTATAAATGTCAATGCTTGCAGTGTCACTTTGTAGTTTTTAAGAGGTTATTTTCATCATGATAAGATAATTATTTAATTGTATATTCATTTTGCACTACTAAACGAGGAAACTTAATACTATTTTAAATTGAAAACAATTACATGTGACAAAAGATGGACAAGTAAAAAAACTCGTATTAACGATAGTTAATAGTTATTCATAAAAGAGTTAAATAATACCGTGTATTTGGTACTAAATGTTCCTTTATGTAGAAGTTTCTGTAACTGCAAGCATTTCAGTCCTTCTGTTTTATATCGACTAAACATGGATCTAAGTTGTCCCGTCTCGATCTGTTTTTGGAATATTTCTATATCGGTTTTCGGTGTTTTCTGTTTGTTCCTTCTTTGCTTTTTCCTTACCAGTTTTTTTCTTTGTTTCTCTTTTTCTCGCCTATCCTCGACTAGTTTAGCGTCGGTCGCATCAATTGTAGATTTACTTCGACGGGAGATGCGGGCATCGTTACCTGTTGACGAAGTATTGGTGTGAGAGACGCTAGTTTGAACTATTTGCTTTTGTTTATTTGCGTCAGTGTCATTATTTTTCATTTGATTGTTGGCATTATCTCTGATTTGATATCTTATGTTACGTTTCTGATATTCCTTCGATTCGCCATACTCAATCACATCAGCTTTAACGATCTCGTTGTCACGACGTAATATGGAAATTGTTTTCTTGTCTCCAGGTAATTGCTTCATCATATTATCTTTTCTGCTAAGCCTTCCTACACTTTGTTTCCTCAGATCAGTGTCGGATGAACTTACATGTGAGGTGGACCTAGTAGTGCTTTTGAATTTGGATTTACTCAAGATTTCCCTTTTCGTTCTATCGTTGAAGCTTTTAGTAGCAGTCTTGTTGTCAATGCTAGTATCACTACCATTTTGACCGCAATTATCATTGCATTTATTTATTCTTTTCAGTGACTGAAGTTCTTTCTTCTCTATTTCCTTTTCCATCTTATGAGATCGTAGGTTGATATGCTTAGATTGAACGTTCTGCTCTTTAAAATGTACGTGTTTTGCTGTGCTGACATTTGTCGATTTCTTCGGTGTAGTAAAAATGTCTGTATCAGCATTCGCAACATTTACATCCTGCGTTATCTGGCTACTTTCTGACTCATTTGTAATGTATCTATGATTAACTTTTGTGTCACCTTGAAAATTACATGTGGCTGCAATAATAATTTGATTCTCTGTGGGTACATATGATTTGGATACAACTTCGATCTCCAAAGTATCTTCGCCCTTTTGAACAAATATAATGATTTCAATGTCAGCATCGTCGTCCCCAGTTTTAACAGGACTATCTGCTGTTTCATTGGCGTCGTCTTCCGGCAACTTTGCGCTCTCTTTAATCTTAATGTTATCTTCTTTTACACTTTTTCCATAATATTTGTTTGATATGTTGACATGTTGGTGGGCTTGCTTCTCATGTATGCCGTAGCTTGTAAATTCCTGTTCCATAAATAGTTTGTCGTGCTGCATGTGCTCCCTATGACAGTGGTCATACAAGTGCTGACCATTGTTTGAGATATTGTGGTCTTTCAAATTGCTACACAGGTAGTCATGAGTATTTTCATTTCTGGAAGTGAGAAGAAAATACTTTATAATTATTCTACAGTTGTTTGATAAAGGTTTTACAATACTGAATTTGATATTGCATTTCACTTCTTCATTTTGCCCTGACAATCTTCTAACCTTCTCCTTGACTAACCATTAATTGCAATTTCTTTTTATCTATATTGTTTTCGATTGGATAATAGTTTTGTGTATGTTCTTGTAATGGGTAAAAAATTCTTCATTATTAAGGCTCGCTTATTATTTTCCTTTGTCAAATGGTTACAATTCTAAAACGAACTCATCAGTATTTTCCCTCGCCCTTCGAACTTCATGTTTTGCATCTCAGATTTTTATTTAATTTAAATTGGTATCATGTTGACTTGTAATAAGTCGGACATTTTATAATAAGGCGGGATCTTATTTTTACAACTTAGTGACATGTAAGCTAGTTGATAACTTGCATGGATAAGGCATTGTATCATATTGTTTTCTTTGCTTTTCAATTTAGTGAATTTACTACGTGATACGTTTTTTTATTTTTATTTCAACAAAAACATAGTAAGGACTGCGAGTTACATGATCTTGTAAATAACGATCTGCTTATAAAAAGTTAAAACTGTAGATTACATGGATTGAGTTGGTCAGGATCATTACTCCTATTACCACAAATATATACAAAAAAAACGAATTTGGATAGTTCTACGTGTTTCCTTCATTTTAACCAGAACAACATCAACTATTTTTATAAAATGTAAATATAATAATATTCATGCCTCAATTCGTTTTCTGATTCAATATCACTGATAATGTTAAAATATAAAAAATCTTTTGTTGAATAGTCAAAAGGAACGTCCGTTTTCAACGGTGTTCACAAGGTGAAATATATTTCGATCTTACACTAAACTAAACAAACTTTCTTTTTATTATATGCGAAGAAACGTTTTACCTAATATTGTATGAAAAGCGCGCCAAATAATAATACAACGTGACGTCATTTACGACGTCATGTCATTAATTTGGTACCCAGTTCTGTGCACGCTGGTATTTCACTGAAACAACGTAAGGGGCTTAAATTCAAAACAGTGAAATTATCAAAGTGGTAATTTCACTGTTTCAAACAGTGAAATTACCAGTTTTATATCACTGATATATTTCTATAAACCACCGAAAAGCATGTAATAAATTTTTACTGTTACCCACAAACCCATGTGTTATTTATATAATGTCATTGATTGAAAGTAAGTTGACCGGAAAAAAAACATGGGGAAACAGGTGCGCCATCGGCCATGAAATAATGTTACTAGAAAATCATGACGAGCTCAGGAATGTCATTGGCTGCTATAGTAAACATGCACAAAGCTGTCTGTACATTTGATACAATTGATAGATACGATTTGTTGGTGAATCCTCATCAAGTTATATAAATTCATTGTTTAATTTTATTTTGAAATAGTTTTTACGGCAGTGTAAAATGTATAAAACGCTATATCTTATGAAATATTTTATAAAATCTATTAATAGTAAAATTTTGTCGTACGATATATCAATAGCAGAATGTCTCTATTATTTAACAAACATGAATATTGTTCGCAAAACGAATAAAATATTCCGAAACAAAAATATTATTCTGCTATTTTAAGTTGCATTTTTACCATTTATCAATGATTTCGTGCATGCGACATTCGCTGGTGTGGACCAATTCAAGCTTATTTCTTCCTTACATTTATTTTGGAATTATTCTTGTAAGAAATTAAACAAAACTTGTGTCCAATACTGACATCAGATATATAGTTCTCTACACTTTAAATGAAATCTTAAATACTTCTTTTTTCATAAGGCCTTACCAAGAAAAAAAAGAATTGTTATAATTAAACAACATCATCAATCTTTTGGTTTTATTATTAAATCTGTTAATGAATCTAGATCTATAATTATGACTATAATATTCTTTTTTATCACATTTCCAAAATAAGGACAATGTGCAGCCGAAAAAAAATTATTTTCATTGGCGCGCTTTAACTTTACAAATTTAGCGTGTGTTTGTGTATAACGCACATAGTGTCATGTCAAAATATATGCACGGAAAAGCAATCAAGTGTACAACTTAAGCTGGTGCTTTCCAGGGTCTGCTAAACTACAAGTCATCTAATGAATGTATCAAATTAATTTTGTGGAAGCACATTTCATTTTCAAATTTTATTAGCAAACTCAAAAGATTGAGATCAACTTGTCAAATTTTCATTTTTATTTTTTCTATTGTTTTTATTACTTGCGATTACCAAAATATGACCATATTATAAACACAAACATATAGACTATTGTCGATATCAGCGTGGAGTGAAACAGTTTACGCACTACTTCTTTAATAATCTGAAACACTTTCATCTTGATTTTAACTAATGTTACAGTTTATGTTATTTTAGACAAGTTTGCTAAAGTACCGCCCAGAAATAGGAAAACATTATAATTTTTATATGAAAAAGAAATTCGTATTTGCAATTTGAGATTCTAAAAGTGAAAATATGCACTAGAGCTATATATTTTAAAGTTTACAGTACATCTCCATTTTATGAAAGAAAAATATGATATGTAAACATATATATTGAAGTCAAAAACTGCTTTCTAACAATAATAAAGAATTCTGGAAAAAAATCCACAAACAACAGAAACAGAAATGTGTTAGATAATAAATTATACAGATAGATCTACATAAATTGCGGGTCTTGTAATATTTTACAGATTGGTAAGCATGATTTTAACCATTTAGTATTTACTTTTAAAATTAAGTTCTTTACTTAATAACAATGATTATAATATTTTCTTATTTGTTATAATCCTAAAATCAATTTTAACTTAAAAAATAAAGTTAAAGATTAGGTTACTTACGCCAGCGAAGCCATCTTTTAAAGTGTTAACGTTATATGTGTTTACTTCCGTTCAACGTCACAAGACGTTAACGTTTCCCGCCAAACTTTTGAATGACGCAAATATTTACCGCTAAAATTAACAAATATCACATTTATTGCTCTTTTGAGTTATTTATTCAAAAATAAATTGCTTAACAATGAAGAAAATACATCATGAACAGCAGACGGCAACGGCAGTAGCAGATTGTTCGCCTGGAAATCTTTCCCTGCCATTTACAGCAACACACGTGTTATTACCTGCAAATGGAGAGGTTTCACTTTAACGCTTTCTCATTCAACCATTCAAGTTAACTGTGATTACAATAAGGCAATTCTCTTCAATTAATCAAAGATGCTTCGGAGACATGTTTCGTATTTTTCCCCGATCTATCACCAAATTATGAACATCTTAATAATAATCAAACACCAATTTAATTTTATTTTGTACAAATATTTATGGTTGTAAAGAATTTTGTTATTTCTGTGATTCATATCGTTGCATATTTCAAATAGGACCAAGGAAAACTCGTTAATGCTTGCTTGTGTAAAATAAGAATACTGTTCTATCCCCTCTAAAATATTTGTTAGCAGTATATTATGTCACTGTATCTGAGGGAGAAAAACACTTAAGAAACAAACAATGACCTGATGGATAAGCCCCAGCTGTATTGCCGTCCTCGGAGTAAACAGAACAGCCAACCAGCGTCTCTCCACTTTGACAACTAACACTGGCTGTATCACCCTGGTGAACACCACCATTGCTCGACTTCCTCACGTGACATGATAAAGACGGTGCTGAACAGCATGCACCATATGTAAAGACATCTAAGAACAACATATTAAGAAAGATATTAACAAAACCACAGTGTAAGAATCTTATGTTTAACATTTTGTAACTATTTCGTTATTCTTTGATTCCAGGGATTCCACTTATGTTTTCTTGACATGACGGGACTGGAAATAATTTTCCGAGATTACTGCTCCATTTGATGCAGGTCTAGACCAATGATTGTGTGCAAAATTTCAGATCATTCGCTCACTCCCGTTTTTTTCCCCAGAAGAATATTCTAATTGTGAAAAAATGACCTAAAATTGGAAAAGTGTTGAACCCCATTTCGCTCAATTCGCGAAATAATAGCACATAAACACCACACAAACGATTTTCAATTTATTTCTGGGTAATTCTTAACTATCTTCCAATATCTTTCTGTTTTAAGCGTCCAAGCTGATTTATGTCAGAAATTCAAATTTTGTGTTTATAGGCTTTTGGACCTCTATTGAGTTCCTTTAAAACGGCATCTTAATTAAATAGTTTGATTGTCATAAGTTCAAATGGAAACGGAAACAAGTCTTAACTCACCGGAGATGCCATCGTTTTGAGCGACACATGATGATGGTGTTGGGTAAGCACCGTCCATACTGGCATAATATGTGTATGATGTACAACCTGCAACAGATGCCAAACACGCCATATCATTACTCAGCATAATATTATATTGAATGAATTGCATCTAATAATTTAAAGATAAAAGAATACAAATTTTTTAGACTAATTTTTAAAAAGGTACAAAAACCCACTACTTAAAAAATAAAAACTGCATATTTAATTTCGTTTTAAAGAAATTTTTACAAATAATTTGGGGAAGTTAGTGCACCAAGGCGAGGTTTTTTGCCGGAAAAAGCCCCCGTCTATCCTCCTTGCTAGTCCAGGGGTCCCCCATTGGTACCTGAAACCCTGTTTTACACAGAAACGAGCTTTCCCGTCAGCTATAAAACAATAAGAAGCTAAAACAGGACATTTATTTAAGAGCTCATACAAAAACAAAATCAAACAAATCAGATGATAGGACACTTTCCTTAATCATTTAGAAAAGCAATGGTTTCATGGCTTTTTCTATAAAAGAAAGCAAGCAGAATTTACACGGACATGCTAAATATAAAACAGTAGCAAAATTTAGGTATCCCAGTAATTCGCGCCAATACTCACGTGCAGCAGAACGATATCCATTTACTGCACGACAAACTGGACTTCCACTCTTCAGCCAAAAATATTCGCCATCCCTAAAACTTTGACCGTCCTGAAATGATGAGATACTTATTATTATAAGTATTTAAATAGGCTAAAATATGTTAGCAAATATCATCATTTCATCATATTGAAAGGTCATTCACAGAACAAAGACAATGAATGGCACAAATTTGTAGCATCAACTCAATTAAGTTTCATATTTACTTTAGTAATACTTGAACAGCCTGTCATAACTTCACCAGAACTGCACATGACATCAGTACTCTTGTCATCACCAACGGCGGAAAGACCCGAGTATCTTGTCGTGCAGGTCATGTGACTTGTTCCGGATTTCACTGATGCATGGCCTAACGTTTGTGTATGGTCGTGAGTCACGTGATGCACATGGCTGATAGGGGCGTAAGTCGGTCGATGTGTAGGTAAAGTAATTTCATCTGAATAAGAAACAAACAAACTCTTTTCTGAAAACAATGATGCCTGAAAAGCTAAAAACGTAATATGCATATGAATTGTTAAAAAAAGTATTTTTATTAAAAATTGTCACAGCAACCAATACTAACCAGTAGTGCCGTCCACGTGTAATGTGATTATTTTGTTTTGTTCACCCTTGTACAGCGTAAAATGGTCTCTTTGTATTGCTTTGCCACGGTAACGGATAATGACGTCATAATCCCCATAGTAACCACGGAAATTAAAATTTGAAGATTTTGAGGTTAGTGTTGTCTTTATGTTTGTACTCCATCTGTTCTTTACCAGATCAAGGTAACGTCTTCCTGCTGAATTTATCTACAAAGTTAGACGAAGAAACATTCAAAACTTCCACGAGGTTGATATTTGAATATTACAAATGTACACCGTATAATCGGCGCCATTGATGACAGATTGCTGTGATGACGGGAATCAAAAATAATTGGTTACTACAGGTAGGTTATATACAAGGTTAGTTTTTAAAAAAAGTTAGTAGCGACTCGCTTCGTAATTTTTTCCAGGGGTGTGTTTAAATGTAAAAATGACAGTTCTCTAAGACTATATGGCCTGTTGACCTTGACCAAAAAAATGTTAGATAGGTAGAATTCATAAAGATGTCTCTTTATACGAAGTTAAGTTGTAATATGTTATTTAGTATTGGAATGAGTGACAGACACAAGTCCTATACAGGAATATATTACTGAAGAACTCTCTTGGGTGTGGGCGAATTTAGATTCACGGGGCATGATTAACATTTGATTTGTACAAGTTCTCAAGCCAATTGTACATATCCAATATTAAAGCTGGAGGCATTGAAGTTTATATCAATAATTAAGACTTAAACATATTTCCCTAAGCATTTTAATAAAAATTATGTCCACTACTTTTTTGGTTTGTGAAACATTTTAAACAAATGGATATGATGTAGATACATGAACAAAATTTTAAAGTGGTCAACAAGGCAATACCACATGCCAAATATTTAAGGTTTAGGCATTAACAAGGTATAAAGGTGTGCGTATGTGTTTCTATATAAGACTTGTCCTTGACCTATGTGTAGAACAATATGAACAACTATGAAAGAGGACTCCTGTAGTGTGGTTAATGTGCAGTCTTTGGTTTCATAGATATCATTTAAAGAGAAACTAAATTACACAATAGGGACAACAGATGAATAGGGATCCCAATTCCTGTTTATGATCACCAGAGCACAACTTGCTCATAGTGAGCATAAACGGAAATTATATTGTAAGAGGGCTTTGTATAATGAGCATCTCCTGTACAAAGATTCAACGACAATAATCAACACAAATATAGTTTATTATCTAATACTATCCCGGATCCCAGGCGTCCCGGATCCCGGGAATTCCCCCACCCTAAATACCGGAAAGGATAAAATGACCGGAAAAGAAGAAAAAGAAGAAAAAGAAAAAAATGCACAGAACCAGATGTACACTTATGTTAATTAACCAAACGAAAACTTACTACAGAGAAAACAGGTGAAATCGCTAAATCAAAAGTAAGTGTTAATATTATTTATTGAAAAGAATTCATGAAAACAAACATGTTAATCATCATTATATCATTGCGCTCAGCAATACTTGCTGCTTTTTAAAAATGGCGTGAAAATTGAAGGTTTTTTTGACGCGATGTAAGATTAAATTTGATTGGCTAAATAATTTTGGATTCCAGCCCTAACAGATAAATTTTGTAGAAAGCTGGAAGCCAAGCTTCGATTAAATTTTTGGATGGATTCAGAGTTTTAGGTTGTTTCTCAGTAAAATCCTAACGTAATACCGGCTCGCCGTGGCGAGCCGGCATAAACTTGGTTGGTCCAATTAAAGACGATTTCATTGCTACATACTTACTGTCCATTGACTTGAAATACTGTCCGGTAATTTTTGACTCGTTTCCCCATTTCATAAAAAGTCCAAATAAGGCTCTTATAACTCTTAATTAAAAGTGAGAAACTCCTTATTAGCTTATTAATAACTCTTAAACTCTTAAATAAAAGTAACTTACGATAATTTAAAACATCTGTTATGTATAAAGGAACGATACATAAGAGGAATTAATATATAATGTAAGCCACTTTTATGGCGTGTCTGTCATCTTCTGCAGCCTAGAAAATACATTTTATCATACAACGGCAGCTTATTCTCTTTAAGCGGACTAGTTTGGACGCCTGTAATATTTTCAAAAAAGACACACTGACCCTAAATGATGATTGTTTATATTGTATAATACGAAATCTCTTCATTTATTTCAAACTGAACAATAAATAAATAAAGAAATATATAAATAAATAAATAAATAAATAAATAGATAAATAAATAAATAAATAAATAAATAAATAAATAAATAAATAAATAAATAAATAAATAAATTAAAAGAATAAAGCTGTTCTAAACCCGCTCAAAATATTGAATGAAATCAGGAAACGAGTCCAAAATTACTGTATAGTATCTCAAGTACATGGACAATAAGTCTACCCTTTATTAGCGCAAAAGAAAATATACAAACCAAGTTTATAACCTACCTGTAGTCATCATTACAGCAATCTGCCACCACTGGCACCGGTAATATGGTGTGAAATGTATCACCATGTCAATTTAAAAATCGTTCATAGAAGTATATAAAGCGGTCTTTGCCGAGTGACATTTATTAACATTTTTGCAGTAACTGTTGATGAATTTGAAAAAAAAAACATGTGGTCGCTATTAACCTCTGCTCTTAACTTTTTTAAAAGTTAATTTCATTTTGTTATCATTGCTATGTATTAACATTTTATCGCTATATATTTACATGGAAATAGTTTCCGTTAACGAGAGCCCCATCTAGAGAACCCATACTGTGATCCCAGAATCCCCATAGAATAATTCCTTCTATAGACGGGTAGCTGAAGAACATAGTTAGTGCTGTCTCAAACCAGTCTGCTCGAATATTCTCGTCCCCGTTTGCCAATGTTAGTTCTGTAACCCACATCGGTAATCCAGTAGTGGCTAGTTTATCTAAACGGTACTGTAATAAAATAAAGTATAAGGTTAGGTCTTGTTTATTATAGTGTCACCCCTACTGAAAGGGCAAGCCATTTCTGACTTATGAGACACCTTTTGCTTGCATGCCATGTATTTCCCGACTCCTACCACTATGCCAGGCGCCAGGCGGATAGAAACCGGTAACCAATCACTTTACGAAGCAGCCATTTCGGAACGAGTCCCACGAGGAACATTCATCCTTCAATTAACGCTCCTCGTGGGGCTCGTACCTTCGACAACCCGATGCGAAGGCAGACGCCTTAACCACTAGGTCAACGGTACCGGACATTAATGGATGCTATACATGTTTTTTATTTTAGTGTTATAGTAATAGTGTTATGTTAATCAATTCTTAAGTATTGTACAATATACTAAGGCCACCCTTTTTGCTTTAGTAAGTCATTTTCTGTGTCAAATCCTGACTATTTTCTATTGTTTGGAACTTTCATTGAGTACTAGCTTTTAGAATGTTAACGGAATTATCTAGTGATAAAGTTAATATTAAGGTCAAACCTTTATTATGGCAGGGTTTGGTTCTACATATGAAGCGAAATGTCCTTGTACTCCCAGACCATACAGACTACAGTTTGCTGACTTAAATGCATTGCCTTGATTTACATAATCCTGTAAGTTAAAACATATTCTTTATTGCATTTCAAATCGACTATTCCTTTCTTTATATCTGACTTTGCACTATATTAAAAGGTAAATCTTAGGTTTAAAATATAACTACTTTTCTCATATACACGTCATGCATGCAACGATGAAAAGTTACATTAGCCTTAACATCATATGTGATAAGCACATATAAATGATATAATTAGTCCTTTTTTAAGTAAAAGTAATAGATTGAAAGCAAATATGTAGCAAAAAGACAGATCTGTTTTAGATTTGCATATTCCTTAGTAAAAAAATGTATAAAACTATACTGAATAACGTTACAAAATGAACAAAAGTTGCAAAGTAATGTAACAATATGAAGGAAATGTTGATAAAGGTCAATTATTAACTTATAATTATGTAAATATTTACGTCAGTGACTGCCCCTCCCGCTACGACATTATAGTCATTAAGGAAGAGTTTTGGTTTCGGATCACGTGCATGTACGGCACGGAAGATTTCTTGAGTATATGTCGGATCACGTGTCATCTCCTCGTACAGCTGTCCATGTAATAACTCATTGTTTACATCCCAATGTTCAAGTCTAGAAATACACGTGAAATGCAAGTATCCACATTGTCGACTAAATTAGCTTCTACGCCTGTTATTCTTCTTGTGAAAAAATCGTTATAAAAATTATATATATTAATTTAAAGTTGTCTCTGAAACTTTGAAATATATCTATGAGAAATGAAAAATTAAGTTAATCTAACGTTTTAGGTCACTACCAATCTTAGATTTAAAATTTCTACTTTTCTCAATCAGAACAAAAACAATTCAACTTATGGCTAATCTAAGTAAGTTTCTGTATCTAAATATATTTGTAACACATTGACTCACTTGCCCATTGTAATGTTAGTCATGAATCTGACCCTTTCTTGTATTGTTGCTTTAAGTTGATCTCCTGTCAGGGATTGTACCCAGGTTGGTGTGTTACCTTTGATACCCCAGAACATATTGTGACCACGAACATGTAATCTATAATATACCAGATCTCGTACAATCATAAGTATCCATTTAAAGGCCATTTATGCCTCAGAAATGCTTTTATATCTCGCTTTTTTTATTTTAATGTGCTTTTATAGTTTCTAAAAAGTTACTCATTAGCCAATTACATGGACCTTTTTCATCTGTTGCTCTTTATCAATAAGTGCAGTTATATAGTGAATAAGTATTTTGTATGGAAGTCAAAATACCACTTTGTTAACATTTTGCTACTTTTATGACAAATTAGTTCACATTTAGCACTACTTTCTTCAGTTAACAAGCCTCTAACATTCTCTAAAACAATTATTTTAACATTATAGATTTCATATTTGCCATTTCTAAAGAATTAAAAATCTATTTGTTTCTGAGACATAATGTGCCTTTAATGTTTACTATTAAAAACAATAGGCAATTCTGTGACTGATGGTGATATACGTAGCAATGTCCGGTTTCCTATGACATCAAGTATCCGAATATGTAACTTTTATCGTTTTACTTGAAGTCTGAATTCATATTATAATGAGATTTCAATGTCGACTCGCTGTAAATTACAATGTGATTGATATAACGGTTTTATATGGGAGTATTTAAGATTGAAGCATACGTCTGGTATTTAAGATATTGAAAAGCTAATGCTAATGTTTTAATTTGAACTAAGGAAACCTGCATGAAAAATTATATTTTCTCAATATTGTATATTTATAATATTTACCCTTGTTTAAGTAACTCGTTGGTGATGTTTACAGATCTGTCGTAATTTGGGTGTGTCTGAGAATGATAAAAGGGAGGAATCAAATTTGTAAAAATGCCATTGATGGTATGTAAAATGGCAAAAATTGCAGTAATTTTGATACGAGAAGACAATTTCAATTTAAAATGAATACATGAATTTCTTAAAGAAGTTCTGTCAGTACTGCTTACATAAAATAACCCTGGTGAGACATTGCCGCCATACAGTTTTATAAATACTGATCGAGGTGCAATCTATATTTAAGCAGGAGATCATCTGCTGTACTTTGTTAAGCTTCAAATAGAATCTGCAGAAAATTGAATTCTTACCATCTTTATTCATAAGTAAGTGATTTATTTACCCGAGTTCCTTGGTTATATTTCCACTTGTAACTGCCTACTGTAGCCCAGTTAAAAAACTCGTAGAAAATATTTCGGTAGATCGGGTATTCTGGATTCAGGAGATAGTCGTCTGCTACAACAGATCCGAACCCAAACTCGTGATTTTTGAGTGAAATCTCGACCTGCACGTGATTTGGATCGAGATTATCATCTGTTGTTATGCTAAAATATTTGAAAATTTACTTTTCATGTGATTGGAATTTAAACTACATCCAAAAATAAACGTATATAAATCATTTTTTTCTTTTATCCTCTTTGGTCATTTACTTAAAATCAATTCACTCAATTCTACTTTTAATTAATATTTCTCTACCTTAATTACTGTCACTCCTGAAAAATTCAAACACTATCCTAACATGACATTATTTTCACAAACAAAAAGGTTTGTCCCGAAAATGACGTTTCTAAACTTCTAAAACAATAAAATATTAAAAAGCATGTATTTTTAATCTTTTTACTCGGTTTAAGGCATTTATTTACTCAATAAAGAAGTTTGTTTTCCTGATCTGTTCGATCCGCTGATATGCAGTGGTATTCCAATTTGGGTCGTCCGGTATTTCCTGCAAGGACACATCATCGACCAGAAAGTCAATGTGAGGATCTGGTCCTTGGATGTACAACCGCATTTTTGTCCAGGCTAAATAATATACGAATACATATTTCTCTTTATTGATCAGACCTGGGGTAATCACTAATCGTAATCATCGATTTTTAATTGATTACATGATTACAGTGTAATCATCATGTAATTGATTACCTTGCTCAAAATTGATTACATTAATTGTAATTAATCAATTACAGCTTAAATTCAGTCTGTAATTATGATTACAATTTGATTGATATTGATTACTTTCAGATTTTACATGAAACTATTGAAATTCAAATGATTTATTTCACATGTTACAGTTTAACCAAGGTAGTAAATTATCAAGTGAGACATTTTAAGACATCACTCACAATGAAGAAATAAGTTTTAATCCATACAGTTAACCAAATTCTAACTGAAAGATAGACATCATTGTTTGGCTGGTATTCTAACCAAAATGTCAAATCATTGGATTTATGATGTCTTTGAATTTCCTAAAGAAACATCTGGAAATGTGACAGCACAGTGCAAATTGTGCCCTAAGAAGATAAATGGAAACACTAAGTCACATTCAAATTCCATTACCCACATAAAGGTATGTTAAATTTTGTTTCACATATTTTGGTTAAACAATGTTTTAAAAAGTTTCAAACAATGTAGATAACTTCTTTACTTTGTATATTCTAGAGTTTATGTCAGATGCATATTACCATATTTTAATTATATGCAACAGTTATTTTGTAAGGTGATAGACAATGTGTCTTTTATAATGGATACTGTTGTACCATTGAAGTGTTTGTAAAAAAAACTGATAATTTCTTTGTATAGTCTATTGTCTCTTTGAATTCCCATATAAAAATTTATTGTTTTCACACCTGTTTTAACACCTGTATACAGTATACTATACAATTGACACTTTTAAAAATTTCTGTTGCAGAGAGTTCATTATGAAACCTACACCAAGAAGACTGAGGACCATCTCTGCATCATTGGCCCCTGTAGAGCGTTTGTTTAGTGTTGCGGGTAAAATTTTCCGTCCTGATAGATGCAGTCTGACTGATAGACGGTTTCATGAACTTATGATGCTAAAGTGCAATGCTAAAATATGATAAAGTGATGTGACAGTAACTAAAAGTGTGTTAAAATGATGACTGTTGATAAGCTGGAAATCCTTTGTGTATATAATGTATATAATGTATATAATAAATAGCATTAAGAAACTTTTGTTTATAGCTATACATGGAATGTAATCAATTATCAATCAATTACTTTCCCAAAGTAATTGTAATTTAATTGATTACAGAGGCAAGTCTGAGTAATCAATTGTAATCAATTACAATAAAATCTGAAAGTAATTGTAATTAAATCAATTACTGATCAATGTAATCATCCCCAGGTCTGTTATTGATGTTACAAGAATTACTTAAAACATAATCAGGTTTACATAATTTCGCCTTTCTATGGATACTCTAATAATTTAAGCGTCGTCTTAATCTATCATGGTTATACATGTAATTGTTTGATGGCGGATGTCAGAATTTATTATTTCTTTGACCAAAAATCTAGAATCAGAATTCTATGAGTTTCAAGTATCTTATTTTCGTCAACCGATGTCGTTATACATTTCAAGAAATTCTTACATTTTGTAGGTGTGATAAAATCTCCACCGAGTCTGAACCATCCATCCTGAACAGTTCCGAATGAATGCTGGGCGTAGTCCAGGTACTGATTGTCGCTAGCTAAATGTTCAGTTCAATTCTTTTATTTATTAAAAACACATTTTAGTATACATTGTAAAACAACAAGAACGTTGACATCAAACATATGCAATATTTTCAATTTAAACATTTTCAAATAATTATTACATAATACACTGAATGGCAAAATAAATGCAACAGTTAGTGAATCACATGTGTCGAAAATTATCAGTAAAAATAAATTTGTTTCATTAATCTTAAAACATCTGGTAAATTTAAAATTTCAGACCACGTATTTTTTAAAAAAAGGGGTTCTTTTAAAAAAAACCCTTTTTTTCACAGCTCGTGAAACAACTTTATTATAATATTGTTTTGAGAATTTTTGTTTTTTTCCTTAAAAAAGAAAAGCGTTCTGTTGAGCGGTTAAAAGCGTTTCAAACCCCTACCCCCCGGTTTTTTTCTATTTTAACCCAACTCACCCTTTTTTAAAGAATTTAAACCTTTTTAATTTGCCCTTTGAAATTTTTCTATCTCATTTTGTTTTTTACCACCCCGGGAAATATTTTTTTTATTGGGTTTTGGTAAATTTTCAAAATACAAAGAATACAAAATTAAAAAAAAATAGGATTGGTTTCCCCCCAAACCCCTGTTCCCTTTTCCCGCCATTTTATATAAAATATTTATTTTAAAAAGCCCCAAAAAACCGCCATAGAGGTTTTCAAATGCTTTTCATAAAAAGATTTTTAGCAACCCCCTTTTAAAAAATGAAGAAATTTAAAAAATACCACAAATTAAATTTGATAAAATTTTACTTTTGGGGAAAATAAACTATATCCCCAAAACCACATTTTTTGACCGTTGAATATTTTTAATATTTTTTCCTTTCTTTAAAATTTTTAAAAAAACAAAACCCTTTCCCATTTATGACCACTGGATGCCCGTTTAAATGGAAATGTTCCCGAACTTTGTGTTGTTAAATTTTTTGTTTGGGTGTAGGCTGATAGAGTAGGCTCATTCTTTTTAATTTACATCTTGGCCCATACCCCCTCCATTGGGGTTCCCTTTTTGTCACAAATTCATACATATTTTAAATAGTTTAAGCTAATCATTTTTTATTTTAAAAATTTTGATTATGAAAAAGAATATTTTAAAAAAGTTTTAACCTTCACAAAGAAGATTCCTGGATACAACTAATCAGTAATCCTGTCAGCGTCTAGAACGAGAAGGCCCTCGTACCTACAATCCTTTGCAAGAAAAAAAAAACCCGCATTTATCCTTAGGTCTACGCTCCCGTTCTTATATTTATATGAAGTTAAAGGACTATACTCTCAGGTAATTAATCAGATGAATTTGATTTTCATCATAAAACGCTCAAACTGAACTATTAAATGCGTTAAAGTACGTAAGTTCCTTAAACCAAAGAACACAGTTCGGATATATTTCGATAGTCAAGAGTACTAAAGATGAATGTTTATAAAACGGAATTCGCAATAAAAAAAGATTTATTTCGGCAATTTATTTTATCATGGAGTTGAAAACAATAACCTACCTGCCAGATAATTTCAGTTTGAGAACACCCCTGTATGGGCTTTTCGGAAACCCTTTCGACGGTGTTTTCCCCATGCATTCCCTACACCCTTCCCATATCCGGGGCTTCCCATTTAAATGTTCCCAAATATCCGGGTTTGCACATTTTAAACCCCCAAAACGAGTGTGAAACAAAAAAAATGCGTAAGGTAAAAATGTGCTTTTTATTTTCAATGTTTCAATTAGAGTCAAACAAGCTTGGGGTCGGGTTTGGGCTTAAATTTTCGTCCCGGGGGTTTTTGCCAAAAATTTTAACACAAAAAGATGAACCCTTAAATTTTACTATTTTAAAATTTACTATTTTTTAAATTTCCCCCATTTAAAGATTTTTAAAATCTAGAAACAAGGGTTTTTTTGCTAAAAATTTTTTAAAACTTTTCTGAAATTCCCGAAAATACGAAAAAACTTTCAATTTTTTTACAAATATTTAAGAACTGTCATTATTATAATGAATAACTAAATAAACTTTAAAATTCTTTACCTTGAAAAAATATCATTTTCGTAGCTAATTTTATTTTTCAAGCAATTTCAGTTGAATTTATTTGACATCAAAAGGACCCAATCCTTTGAGTTATACCCTTATTAGATAACAGCGCCTTTTCATTGCATTATTTTGTTGATGACTGCGTACTACCTTTCCATTCTTATCATCAAATTAAAGCGATCAAACTAATCCCAAATTTTGAAATCACGGTTAAATCAATTTCCGCAAATTTTGATCAATCCAAAGGCTTGTGTTAGGAATAACATTGTTAAATTATGAAAAATATAAATGCGCTGTTTTAAATTATTACTGTATTATATCTTAGTTTTTGCCTATGTTTTTTGCTTTCAAATTTCAAGAGATTTTATTATTCACTCAATACACAATACATGTAAATATGAGGAGTAAAATAACAAATTACAAAATGTTAACGAGGTTAATTAGTATGTAACTCACACATCTTTACAATATTCTTTTAACATAGACAGGAGAAAGTTTTACATTCATACAAAATAAAATGAATTATTTCAAAAATTATTTATCAAAGTTTAATATAATAATTCAGTTTCAATATTTTTCTAAGATTATTTTTATAAACATGCAAAGTTTTTTATATATCACATAATTTGAGGGGTCAGTGTTCATTAATTTATCAAAAACTTTATATTTGGATTTCTATAATAGATTTCAGAGATATATTTTTTTCTATCCGTGTTAAGATTTGGGCATTCTAATAGAAAATGAATTCGTCGCCTATGTTTATGATTGCAGAGAGTGCAATTTTCTCTGTTCTAAAGGGATTCTATGCCAGTTTCCAGTTTCGACCGGTAGTTTATGATTTCTGGTTCTGAATTTGATCATATATTTTAAATATTTGGAAGGTGTTTCACTAAGATATTTCTCAATTTTCAAATTTTTTTTAAAAATACAAAATATTTCTGCAATTAGATGTGTTTTCTAGACCTGAGTACCACTGATTTATGAATATATCTGATAATTTTTGTTTAACTGATTTAACCAGCCAATTTACGTTTAGGAAATTCATGACTCATCCAAAAATATTAGCCATTCCACATTCTATAAAAATATCTTTTATGCAAGTTATCCATTTGAAATTGAAATTTGAGTGACTATTTTTAAATTACTCAATGCAACTGCATATATTTCTGTTGTAAGCTTTTTGTAATTTGTTACGATTAGTTTTGCCCAAAATGAAATCATCCTTGCTTTAATTTCTATTGATAAACGGTTTGGTACGCAGTTTCACCATAAACACAATTATATTTGAGGTATTTTTCTTAAGACATAAAATATGTTTTAAAAACTTAAGTTGCACTACTCTTTCAACAATGTCTAAATTTCCAAATCCCCCAGATTTCACAACCATATAAAAGTATAGGTTTAACCATTTTATTAAAAGATCAATTTGCAATATTTATAGGTAAGCAGAGATGTTTGCATTTTTTAATTAAAGAATTACATAGCTTTTTGTAGCTTGTTTGGCAATTTCTTGCTTTTGTTTTTGAAAAAAAGAACCAGATCTGCTAAATAAGACACCTAATATTTGTATTTCATTTACAATTTTTCTAAAGTTTCGTTTTTGAATGTAAAAGAGTGTATTCCGCGTTGTCTACCTCTTGAAAATACAAAGTACTTTTTGTTTTAGAAGAATTTAATTTAAGTCTCCAAGCATCACAGTAATCAGCATAGATAATTTAAAAGGTTTTGCAAGTCTTCTGCAGATTCTGCCATTAAAACGGTGTCGTCTGCCATAAAGAAGTATGGAAAAGTTTTACAAAAATTTATAGCTTCTGTTTCGAACTCATGTTTGTTGCATTTTACACCTGATGCTATATTACTACTATTACATAAAAATCACTTAGATCAATTTAAGTATTAGGGAAAAAAGCAAGGGAGACAAATTTTCACCCTGTCGGACGCCGACATTACAAAGGGAAGTAATCAGTTTTTACTCCATTTACAAAAATGCATGACTTAGCTTTTTCATTACATGTTTTTATAAACATTTAAAAAAGATCCAATTTATATTGTTAAGAATAAGTTTTTCCCCAAAGACCCTCTCTCCAAATAGTATCGAATGCTGCCTTTAAGTCGACAAAAGCACAAAATAAAGATTTTTTACCTGGTTCTTAGAATTTCTATTAGCGAATTTAAAACAAATAAGTTATCTTGCTGTTGAATAACCTTTACGGAAACCGGCTTGGCATTTAATCAATTAAGTCGTTGTCCAGTACAATATTGTTTTAGTCTTTTATTTAAGATTAACGTAAACACATTTACCAAGGCCAGCTTAAAAGGGTTATTGGTCTAATAATTTGATGGATCAGAAGGGTTACCTTTACTTTTTTAAAATATTGGGTTTACTAAACCTGAAGTCCATGCGATAGGTATTTTGCCTGTTTTGAATACTATATTGAATAATTTAAGAAATACTTCTTTAGTTTTGGGAAACGAAATATTTTAAATGTTCATTCAATACATTTGTCAATACCCACTGGGCTTTATTATTTTTTCAAATGTTTGATAGCTTTTTCAATTTCTTGTACTTGTTATGGGTTTTGTTTAAAAATTCATTTTGTTTCCATATTTATTAAATTATCATTTTCAACATAGTCAGTTTCCTCACAGTAGTTTATATCTTTAAAATAGTCGTAAAGTTGATTTATGTCTGCACCTATTTTTTTTTTTTCTCTTTCATTTTAGTAATTTTCCAAAATTTTCGAGGTGATTGTGATTTTAGTTTCTTAAGTTTCTCTACATTAGAGGATACAAATTTTTTTGACTTTCATGCAGCACATTTTTATATTGTTTACTTTGATTTTTTAGATTTATTCTATTTTCGTCGGGCTTTTTCCGTAATTTATAGAGATGTTTGGCAGAATGAAATTTTTTTTTCTAGCTCTATGGCAATTATTACCCAAACCCAAATTGTTTTTTTTTTATTTTTTTTTTTTTTTAAAAATGATAATAAATTAAAATTATTATTTTTTGTGTTTTTGATTTTAACAAAACCCAAAGTTTTTTTCAGAAGATTGTACAAGCAATTCGGAAAATTTCCTCCCGTTTAAATTCCAAAATTTAAATCATTGGGCCCTTTTTAAACAAGCGGGTTTCTATATTCAAAAGCTTTTTAGTTTGAATCACAAAGCCTTTTCTTCCTTGTATTAGAACAAAAAAACAAAGTGCTTTTTTCTTTATCAAATACGTGAATTTTTTTTTAAAAATTGGGTTTGATTTATTTTTAAAGGGTTTTTTGCAAAAAAACTTTAAAAAAAGTGAGATCGGGGGAAAAGGACATCAGAAAACCCTTTGGGGGGGCCCCCAAAAAAAAAAAAAAAAAAAAAAAAAATGGGGGAAAAAAAAGGTTTTTTAAACCCATCGGGCAAAAATTAAAAAATATCAGAGGTTAAAAAAATAAAAAAAATCAACGCTACTAAAAATTTTACAAAGGGCAAATTGCCATTTTAAAAAACCCATTGTTTCCCAATTCCAAAAAAAAAAAAAACCCCAAAAAAAAAAAATTTCCCAAAAAAAAAATTTGGGGCCCCCCCTGTAAAAATTTGACAAAAACTAAGCCAATTTAAATTTTTTAAAAACTTCTAAAACACAATTAAATTTTTTTGGCGGTTTTTAAAAGTAGGCAATAAAAAATTTTTCAATGTTTTCGTTCAGTTTAAAGTTAAGATAAAACTAGATTATTGATAGAAAAAAAATCATAATTCATTTTAAACAAAAATCATTAAGTTTAATTTTTTTTTCCCCGGAGTTCCCCTCCCCAAAAAATACAAAATACTTTGGGAGAGTTTTCCCCGAAAAATTTTTCTTTATTTCATAATTTGTATTTCTGAAAATTGGTGTCTGGATTTAGAAAAATCTTTGAGTTTTCTTTGGTGGCACGTATTACTACACCAATACAAAGTATTTTCATTTGACAATTATTTTATTCGGAAAATTTTTGAACCATAAAAACGAACTTACCCTGTCACACTCTCTAAAATCGTTATATATATGGACTTAAATGTTTTCTCCTAACACAAAAAAGAACAAGGTACCCGCCAACTGCGTTTTTGCCAAGTTCTTTCTGTGCTTAAAAAAATAGACGAAACCCATCTAATTCAATTGTAATCCAAATTGTCTAAACTTTGTTTCTTGTAAGCCTATAATGTCAAATTGCTGAATAAAAGAAAATGAATTCAGGGGTAAATTTGCTTAGACTTTAACCCCATACATTTATAGAACAAAATTTTAAGGTTGATGACACACATATTTGTCATGTACACGTACACTTTTTACCTAATAAGTTACTTTCATGCAAAAAACAATTTTCATGGGGATCACGATTTTAAAAGTGGTATTTCTCCATGTCTGTCCTAAATGTTATTATATTATGATATGGGTCACTGCATGTCTGGTCGCTTTCTATTCGGTTTATATTTGAGGTGCGACATGTGTATTCGACGAAATGATCTCATCTTCCATATTTTCACAAATCGTTTTTGTAATGTATCTTCAAGTGGTGAATTTTTGCTTT